TCAGATTAGATTAGATTACCTTACCTTCCTGTTATAGTAGACAAGCACTGCCACCTGCCAGCGCTGTAGACAGTGCTGGCTTCGCTCCTTCCTTTCCTCAGTCAGTGATCTTCCCACTAGACTGAGGTATGTTCATCTTCTATTCCCATACTATACTGTACTCATATGGTTCTTAGAGTCCTCTGTACAGGTATAGTCCTAATACAGTCAGTGATCTTCCCACTAGACTGAGAGTCCTCTGTACAGGATCTCTTACTACCAGCGCATCAGCGAAATAGTGCACTTACGCTCGGTACGTATAGCGAGACCTGACCGCAACCGTGCCCAATTGTAGCTATATTGTATCACATAGTCATACGAGTCTATACGAATGAATACAGATAGTCCCCAACCATCAATCAATGGCGTGCTCTGCATCAAGACGACCTGAAATTACCCAGCCCGAAATTTCTCGAGCACAATCAATTGCTGACAATCCCCATCGACCCAAATCGACAGGATTAGTATTATATTGGGGGTTTGCACGGCGCTATACGACTCATTACGAAAACGGTCGTAAATATGGCAAGTGTTCGTGTGATTTCGGGTTGCCCGACTATATACGATCAAAATCGACGCATATCGACCTGAATCCGGCACGTTCTCACTGGGTATGAAGTATGACTGTCACAGTCGGCAGGAAGGTCGTGTGACATAGCAAACAACCTGCGCGACTGAAGAGACCATGCGGGAAGGAGCAGTCCTGGAACTGTAGAAGGGTAGTCGTACAGCGGAGAGACGCGCAACATCGGTTGAAAGAAGAGAAAGCAGGGAGACACTCCTGACGAAAGCTTACCGTGTACGGTACATCGGACTCTGCCGTAGCCGAGCGTGTGCCGTTTGGACCAGAAACACGTGACTGTGCCAGGTGCCCGCATACGGTTGGAGAGATGCACTGTGCCATTGGCCTTGCTTCACTTCTGCTTAGTATGCCTCGCGGTTCTTTTCCGTTGGACATCCCGCCACTATTGTTCTAATGATTTCTATCGCTCTCTGCAATGTGAAAGCAGCTGACATCAGATCGGTCTCCTGGTCCAGGATAGTATCCGTGCGCATCAGCCGGTGCGCCACAGACAGTAATGTCAACGCCGCACTGAAGTCCTGTGAGTTCGTTGTAGCTGATAAGTCCGATCTCTGTTCGTTAAACCTCCGTAGGCGATGCTGATGAAGCCCCGCTGGCGGGTGGTAGTTCATACTAGTCGACGACACACTCATCCGCAAGAGTAGCTTGTCTTCAAGATACGCGACGTCGCCCGATCGCTCACCCCTAGTAGAGTACAGCCGTACCACACGGCTCGGTACGACGGGAGGCCAACCCTGGGTATGACTGGGTGTTCCGCACCACTACGCCAAGCCGTGGTCCAGAGGAGAGCTTCTTGTAGTCGCCGTCAGTGCTGGAGGATGAATCAGATCATCTCCTGCATCGGCTACCACTTTGGCCATCACGCCCTCCGGCTGGGGGCCAGGATGCGGGAGGAATGTTTCATGATAAAATACTCTAGTTGTACAACTGTCATACAGCCTAATTTCTAGCAAGCCTTTCAGCGCGCGCGCCCCACAATAGGGAGAACAGACGTGGAAGAACTCACAGTACGACATCCAGAAACCTCAAACTATGCTGTCGTTCTGCGTCCACTGAACGCCGTGATCTTTCATTGGCACGTTGTTCTGAGGCTGCATGTTCCAGTGGACGTCAATGACGTCCCTCTGCACATCCGATACTCGGAAAGTCTCCACCCGCGCTGGAATACGTTGAGATATTTGCTGCTGCGTGGTCAGACCGAAGGTGCCGAAGCCACCAGTCTCCCGCGTGAACTCTACGATAGAGCGACGGGAGTTGACACTACCCAAAACCGAAAGGAATCGGTCTCTTCAGCGCAATTGGAATGTGAAGGAGACGTACACGGCGAGCACGGCATTAACGTAGGCTAAAAGTATGTATCAGGGCTGCTGATGAACAGATAAGGAGAAAGCATGACTACCCTCACATTTTGTGGCGAGCATGTTGATCGCAATGTAAATCATGTTTTCCGGTTGCGATAGACCCTGTAGGTAAAGTGAGGAGACCTGTCCTTAGCCTAGCACTGTAAAAGACTCACGAAGACTAGTGATGCAAGGCTGAGGGCGCTAAGAGGCTTCCTCGTTAACCTCCGGATTATTGCAGGAAGCGAGATAGTTACCTCGTCAGAAGCCCTAGAATGGTGATGGTTACAGTTTGGAAATGACACTCAACTCTTGCAATCAGAACGAGCTCACCTGTATTGATTGTATACACCATCAGAACGCGAAGCATCGAATTCGTCCTGGGGACAGCTTAGCTCGTCACTGAAGGCTAGCATGATCCCACACACCTTTTGAACACGGTACGACTCCGCATAAGAAAGACAATCAAAGTCACGGAGAGTAGCACATCAGTGGCCAGCGAAAACGCGAACCCGCCAGACATGAGCCACTACAGATGCAATCTTTCAGTATCAGGGCACAACCCATACGCTCCCGGGGCGGTACCGTGTAATGCTCAAACTTGGCGAACGTCTCTTGTGCAAAGCTGCAGAGTCGAATTTTAAATGGCATTCAAGCAAAATAACAAGAAACTCACATCTCGTAGCTAGCGGCTGCATAAGATATAATCAGACCAATCTCAAGGCTATCGAGACACCAGCACTGACCCGTTGTGAAACCTACAGCGCATGCCTTATGATTGGTGCAGCAACACATCGATGAGGACACTTACCGCCAGTTCCCAGCATGCAAAGCACCTGTACGGAATTCAGGGGGTTGTGACAGGTCATGGACGGCAAATGCGTACAATAGGGGCCACCACAAGAGCGTAGCCAGACCCAACTGCAGCGGACTACTGTGAGATTTGTAGAGACAGACTGAGAGTAGTTATACAGACTACGATAGACCCTTCGAGCGTAAAAGCTATTCACATAAGGTTGAGTTAGACAACACTGATTATAGGTACGACTCGGGAAAGACTTACGACTGGGCTCCGAGCACGGTAACTCCCTGCACAGGTAACAAAGAAGGTGATCTCAACCGTTGAGATTGAGAAACGGCATCCACCAAACGTACAGTGACCGGAGCCAAGACCTGATGACAAACAAGTGGATTAGAAGAACAGCATTCCGCCTGGACTTTTCGCAGCTCACTCTAATAGACCTACAGTAATCCAATCAGAACTTGTCGTGGGGACATCTGACGATGGAGAAATCATACCATACACCGACGAGCAGCACTTGAGGCTGAGAATGGTTGGTGACCAGATAATGATATCTATCTTGGCTGTCAGGTAGCCTTAGCAAGTGCGATATACAAGTACCACTTACGATGCATGGATGCATGCGATAGAGTGAAAGGTGTCTAGCGCGCTGGATTATACGAGTCAGGCAACGCAACAAAAGCACTATCTGCTAACATACAAGAGACAAACGACCTGAGATACGTATGTCAATCAACAGCGAGATGTTGTCAGCTAGATCGAAAAACGGCTACGCGACGATCCCTGACTTACCGTGCCTTGAAGATAGACCTTGTCTCCGGAATAGATACGGAAGTAACGGAACATCTGGTTTGACGATACCCCGTACATCCTAACACCATTCAACGTTATCACGGTGTCAAGAGTCAGCCAACTGGATTGCGCGAAGTAGTCGTACCAACTCACATGAGACCAATGCAAGTTCCGATCAGAATAGCCCCAAACGAGTTATCCAGCGCAGGCACCGCCGAGGTCGCGGCGGTGACATTGTTGGACATGTTTCCTCAATGCGAGCCAAGAGCAATAGAGCGAGCGAAGGAGAAGGAAGCAAGGCCGAGATGAACGCGAGTAGTTGTGGGATAAATACCGCACCTGCAAGTCCGTGACATGTAGAGTCCCACGTCGTCATTCTCACATGCATCTACAAATGATGGGAGGTCATGGGGAGGATTCACCACGGGCCCTCAACATAACATCGAAACACGGGACACGTATTGAGAGTATCCTTGGACGCCTCTAGCGCATGGTACGCTCATTATGGATGATCGAACATCCGCCCGCTGCACGTGGAGGCTTCCCCCGGTTAGCATGAGAACGCTACATCACCACTTGGCAAAACCACTGCCGCCAGCTTTCTGAAGGATCATGGGGACAGAATTGTCATTCAGTGGTTGTCATATGAAAGCTAAGTGGATGCTATTATCGACCGCGGCCGGTGGATCGTCGACCTGCAGAACAGTCCCGGGCGGAATCTGCGTTCGGGCTGCGTCGGTGCGCTCACCTCATAGGAGGATGCTCATCAAGGCCGAGAAGGCTTACCCGCGACCACAAGAGGACGATGATACCAGTTCCTCATGACCACAGAGCAACAGGGCGCTACGCCAGGCTAGTACTCGTCGTTATCTCATGCACCATATAGTGCAGGGACTTCAATGCTGTCTTGTGCACTATGTATTCAGATAGAGTACATCACGTTGAAACGAAGGGATCTAGTGAGAGACCTCTCACCGCAATTCCACTTGAACGCAGGTATAATCAAATTTCCCAGCTAACTGACTGAGGAATTCTACCTGCGTGGAAGGGTGGAATATATGGGCTGAGCTTCATGCTGGGAAATAGTTCTCCGTAGGAGCGCCGTGCAGCAAAATCAGATGTTCATCGTCGCAGCTGAAAATGCGGCGGATGAGAGGTTGAGTTGGCAATGGGCATCGCCGAACCGACGCCCAATTTAAGGCCGGACCATCCCGGCTTGCATTCTCGGCGCTTGTTCGGAAATAATTCATCCCATACACAGACCGCCTCGTTACCGGTCCCTGTTGCGACATGCGATCGCGAGCTCGAGAGGTCATATGAGCAAGCGACGATGTCAAACAGGCCATATTGCTGCTTGAGATTGTAATGCGTGCATTGGTCTGCCGCGATGACTGTCCTGAGTGATGTCAGACGAATTGAACATCATCTCGTCTGCGGTCACCGTCGTCGAAGATCAATCCAATTTCCCGGATGCAACCTATACAATCCAATACTATGTTGCTCTATACGCAGCCTACATCCACAACCGTCCATTCTCCGACGCGCCTGCGCGCGCCTCAAACACCAATTCTAGTCTACATAAAATGAGAAGATTAGAGGGACCGGTCGAGTTCTGCTATCCTGCTCTATGGGTAGGTGGGAGATGAACGTTATGTGAAATGCAGAAGATATCTGTAGTAAATCAAGAGACGAGACGATATCCGTACATATATTCCCAATGCGCCACCACGAAGCGCATCACGTCGACCGCCCCTGATACGACGTTCCAGTCAAATACGCAGAGCCCGAGCCCGAGCTAGAGCTCGTCGCCCCATACGACTGTCCGGCCTGCGGGACTTTGAGCACGCGCGACGACGCGAGCGACCCTTCAGAGGGCGGCCCGCTGAACCTCGATTGCCTGATATCCTTATTCTTCCGCGACCGTCCCCGCGGAGGCTCGACGCGTGCCTCCACCGCACCAGGGCCCACCCGCTTGCCTTTGCGGCGAGTCGGCTTGATCAGCGCGTCAGGGCGGAGCAGCAGCAGAATGACAAAGGAGGCGAACACCATGCTGCCTGCGACGACGTAGATCGCCTTGGGGTACGTCGCGACCGTCTTGCTATAGATGATCCCGAACAGGATGGGCTAGATAGCGCGAAAGGAAATATCAGTATGTCGAGCAAGGATGTGGAGAATGTGGTTAGCGCACCCCCAGGATCGTCTGGCCAATCGCTTGCACCAGGGAGAACGCGCCGAACATCTTGCCCGTATCTGTATCTCCGTGCGATTGCATGACGCACAGTGCGAGGCTGTTGACGGCTGGCATCAAACCAGCACCGAAGCAGCTCATAGTCGTCGCTCCGACGAAGAGAGCCTGCCCTGAGTAGGGACCATAGTCCGTGGGGGAAAGCGAGACGAGTGAGTGGGAGAGTAGATCGAGGAAGAGCGACCCGCCGATAAGCGTCTTGTCGAACCGCATCGCCTCGGCCAGCGCTGCGTTGGCTACGGCAGGCGTAACTGGGTGGCCCGGGACCCCGACAGGTTTCTTGGGCTTGAACGTCACGATGACGACTGTGCTAACGACGTTATAAGAGGGTTAGATATGTTGCGGCATGCGACGTACACGGAAGAACGAAGAGTAGATGCAGAGCACGGGCAGATCCCATGAAAGAGATGTAGTAGCTCAGCTACATGACACGTCAGCTGGTGTTGATGAACGCAGTCGTCAAACTGAGAGCTGACCGTTTCGGCCCCCCAGCCATAGATATGCTCGGCATAAAGGTACTTGAGTTGGAACATACCCTAGACGGAGAACGTGAGATACACGCAAGCTCGCAATCACCGACCATACTCACCAACGAGAGCAAGTGGCCAAACAGCACCATCGCCAGCAGCATCATACTCCAGTCCTTATGTTTCGATCCGTTCGGGCCCGTAACCGTCTTCGGAAGGAGCAACGTGAACGGATTGAACAAACGCTCGATGCGACCGAGGCGCTCTTCCGCGACTGGAATCGTCGGAGCGAGTAATGGCGACACGGTTCCCTTGGCTTTCTTCTTATCCAGTGACTCCGGGAACAGAAACAGCGCAAGCATCAAGTTGACGAACGACGCGAGCGCAGCAACATAGAACACCGAGGTCACAGTCGGCGCGCCGTTGTGCACGCCGACCGCCGGCGAGAAGATCGGGATGAACGGGTGACGGATCAAGAATGCACCAATCGCGGGCCCCATCGCAAAGCCAAAGTAGAACACGCCCGTAAATCGGGAGAAGATGCCAGCACGCGACCCATCCGAGGTGCAGTCCGAAACGTATGCCGAAGTGGCAGCTTGCAGGGTGGCCCATCCTCCGCACAGGCCCTCGATGATGGGGGAAATGATCAAGAGCTTGTGTCCATGAGCAGCAAAGATACTATGCGGCGTCGAGACGAGGATGAACATCAAGTCCCTACGAACGTACCCATCAGTGTTTGCAGGAGTGTGTTCGGACAGGAGGTGCGTACGTCATAAAGAGACCGAACGTAGCAGCTGCTAGAACCTTGGTACGTCCGTGCCTCTCACCAAACCCGCCCCACCATATGGTGGTGAGAGCGGACAGAACTCCCATAGTGGTGGTCATGATGGTCTGAAGACGCGCAGCTCCAGCTTGGACAGCTGGGTCCTTGAGGCAACGCTCTGAAGGAGGTCGACGCGGGTCTGGCTCATCACCATCGTCATCGGGTGGCAGTGTGGGCTCCTCTGAAGATATCTGCTGGTGTGCGAAGGAGAAATCGACGTCTAATGGGGGGAAAGAGGGAGTTGCGGGATTGACGGCAAGTGAAGGAGTGTTAAATGTATTGAATAGATGAAGCGAAGTGCGGTTGAGGCTTGTGTGGTCGTAAACGTCGTGCCCATATATTTGGTTGCACGACAACTGTGTGAAGACTTGGACTCGAGGTGCGATAGTCATGCCGCGCTATGTCACATGAATATGTGCGAGGAATGGCAGGTATGCGCAGACTTACCACGACTGACGCGACAATAGCGAACGGAACGAGCCTAAACACCAACTTAGTACAAGTCGCGAAGCCATGAACCAAGGCGAAGGAATAGATGTCCAGAGATACCAAGGAATACCGCTTCCACGACCGATCCCTTGGCCAAACCGGGACGGAGGCGGCACGCGCCGCTGAGACAAGCCCGAGCCAAAGACAGTCGGAAACCAATGGGGCGACCCATTGGGACACAACGCGATAAGCTGCGGGCCGTCGGCCGACCAGCCTCACCTCTGCGGATGACTCCAACGAAGTAGTAGACGTTGCAGACGTACCATAAAGGTCTTGGCCGGTAGAATGGCTTCCTCCTAGGGCGCAATTCACCCAACAAAGGATCCTGTTCAGAAATGTCGTCCGAAGGCTGACCATTCGCTACAACTGCGGAGGCGGGAGAGGAACCGGATTTGGGTCGCACGGAGCCGCGTGCACGCGAGACTGAGGGGTTATAGATGGAGAAGTTGGAAGAGACTACGGCGTCGACCGCCTGGTATGACGAGGAGCTCGCCATGGGTGGTGAGGAGGCAGAAGTAAGAAAGAGGAAGAAGAGAGGAAGGGGGCCATGCGGCGTAGGCCTTGTCGGTCGATGGTGGCGGCCTCCCGTTGGGCGATATCTCTCTCATTGATGACCTCAGCCCCCGGTCCGCCCTGCACCGACTCACCCAGGCTGTCATTAGTAATTGGTGTTGACAGGCGATATCCAACGTTACTTCTTGAACTTATCGGAATAGTAGGTCTGCTCAAAATTGAACTGATCAGTAAGAAGAAGTGAACTACATCGGCGGCGTTACCGAGACGAACCATTCTGAGTTTGAACTGAACGCTTTGGCCGTGAGCTCACCGCGTCGCTCGTCGCCGCGTCTTGCTTAACTCCTGCTTCTGCCGTCGCCGTCATGGACATCGACGAGCAGCATACGTCCACATCGCAACAGAACGCCATAGCGGGCCCTTCAACGATGTCCGAAATCCCGCCTCTCTTTCTTCCACCTCCAGGTCCATCATTGCTGCGTGAAGCTCGCCTCCTTGATCTCGCTGACCCTGCGCCGCCTCCAGGTCCTCCACGACCTCCACCATACTTCAGGAGCACAGACGACCTCTTGAAACGCTTCGAACTCCTCCCTGCGTACGACAAGTACGTTCGACCCTTTGCTCCACCGGTAGGCCAGCCGTGTGCCACCGACAAGGGGAAGGGCAAGGAGATCTTTGGCAGGGATGCACCAGCGTCGTCTCCAGCAGCACCCACGCCCGCGGCGGGCAACGATGGAGATGATGAAGATGGGACTAAAGGAGAGAAGAAGTTTAAGAACTATAAGCATTTGATCAAGTCGGTCCCTGGTATGTGGTTATTTACGTCGACGCGCTTGCGATGCGACAACCCGTCCATAGGCAAGCATTCAATGAAGAAGGACGACTTCCTCGAAACCTTGATGGTAGTCCCACCAAAACAGAAGAACAAGATTGAGGCGTTCAATGCACACACACAACAAACGGCATTCTCGATGAGCTTAGAGGGTCTAAAAGGCGTACGTTTCTCCCTTGGATACTCATCACCGCCACTCCCGAACATTTCCCTCCATAACAGTGGAATATCCATGCTCTTGTCGCGGAATCTTCACAAGCGCGGGAAGACAGGAAGAGAAGGGTGCGTCTCTCTCTCAATCGCTGTCTGCGTCCTGTCTCATCCGGAGCCACTTTCACCATTATCTTGCCGTTCGACTCCTCGTCCTACATAATTTCATCCCTGCCTCGTTTCTCCTCCGCTATAACGGGTGCACCCCTCGCTATCATCTACGCCTACAGAAAGAGCTCAAAAAACTCGCGAAAGCCGGTCAGGGCCTCGTGCAATCTGCAGCTGCCGCAGGGCCCAATACTCCCGCAGGCCTCCCGTCGACACCGGCGGGCGCGCCACCCCGAACTTCCACACCTCAGCCTGGTATCCCTAAACCTCCTCTAATGCATCAGCAGCCGTCGCAGGCGCGCGGCCTCACGCCCGTCGGCATCGGGACACCGCAATCCGTCTCCACACCGGCGCCTCAAACAGCCACACCCGCTGCCCGAGGAGTCAAGCGGGAGAGGGATGATACGGGCCTTCAGATGTCCGGTAATACGCCCCAAGGCACGTACGGCCAAGACGGCGCAAAGTCCGAACTAAGAGGCACGAAGGCGGGAAACGCGGGAGTGCGTCCGCGGCCGATCAAGAAGGCGCGCTTGGTACGTCATCTTCTTCTGCAGCTCGCACGCTTGCTACATATGTGGCTGACATGGCTTCATATGTGAAGGACGGCAATGGTCAAGTCCAAATGCCCATCCAGCAACCAACGCCACACGCATAGGTGCTGGACGATATCTCGCAATCCTGACTACGATTGCCGCCTATGCCACCCTCAACGTTGTTCGCGCTACCCATCTTCATGAATGGCGCCACGTGCCGCTGCATCCTGAAGCAGGTGCTATGCCGTTACACCGCGCCGACTTCAGAGGCGACAGCCATCCCTTCATCTCATACGATATCGCATCCCTGGGCCCATATCTTATAACAAGCATACGTCATCCACGCATCCATGCATTCATCCAGTCATCCATTCACATATCCGCTCCCATCCGCCAACACATTCCACCATCCTCGTGATCCAGATTTGAACTCACCAGCATTCAATAACATCACGTTGTAGACGATCTCGCACCACTACTGATTGCAATCGATCACGCATTTCTTGACATGATCAAGCCAAGGCCTTCGTATCCCTGGACCCGTTCCGGACGTCCGCTCCGAGGACTTACCGCTCACCTACGCCTCGGCCTTCGGAGTGACACGACGCCTCCGACGCTCATGCCCTTCATAACGCTTCATCCCCGAGGCTGAGGACCGTTCGCCGCAGCACGTTCTTAGGCTGGCGTACATCGGGACTCTGGTTAATTATCTGTCGCGGGCGGTTCGGATGCAGCGTGTCGCGGAGGTGTGTGTCTCGGACCAAGTCTGCATGTGTTATAATTTGGGGCAAAATCGACTTCTCACGATCCGTCATCGGGTCGTGCTTGCTCTCCACCTCGCATGCCTGAGGGTTTGCGTCGTAAGTATATCAGACTGACACTCCGCCCATTCTCGGGGATGAAGTATTTGCGTGTGAATCTCGGTGGCGTTGTCCAGCAGCTTGCAATTGAGTCCTAGAAGCGGTCCGATGACACTGCTTGCGACGTCTCCATTACAGCCATATTCACGCGAGCTGTCCCCGCTCTTATTATGTCAACAGTGCCGAATCTCAGTGGTCAAACCTCTCAGGCTCAAGATTGGGACGAGCTTGTCTTGAGAGAATTCCCACTCAAGCACGAGGCTCCGAGAGAAGATCGGTAGCCTGCGCCCAAGATCGACCGGTCCGCTCGAGGCTTTCGCGAAGATCGACAAGAACCTCATGGTCTAGCGATGGTGAGTAGTATCCAACATCTTATCCCCGTCTTTAAGTTCGATCTCTAACGAAGCCAAGCCCAGTCTCCTTGCATGCCCAATCTCGACTTCGGCTCGCGGATTGAGAGGACATTGCCGGCTGGGCGAAGACCGTTCGCACGAAGGTAGACATAGCCGAGCAGCTCAACTTCTCGCTGCCGCATGGGTAAGGCTTTTCGCACATTGCCTAACTGAAAACAGGTTGTCAAGGTGCGCTTCTTAGTGACGTACGGGGTCAGAGCTGTCATGTTGACTCAGTCTTGAATTGAAAAATTGTCAGCGTATGGCCTCGGTCAGTGTTAGTACCTCAGCCCGACAGGGTATGTTCATGGACATTGCAGCTTCGCCACCGGGCCCTCTTCTGACCCCTGACGCTGTCAATCTAGCTCATGGCGCAGCTCTTAAGCCTTCGGAAGATTACAATCAGATCAGATATAGCCTCGCTCTCGGGCGATTGATTGCTTGCCTTTGCTCCCAGTGCGACCCCGCTCAAAGGGGCCCGATGGCTCCCTGTTTCTTACTTGGTGGCGCCCTCCTCTTTGCGTTGCATGCTGTACTTGCGGTGCCCGCGGCCCCGTCACTTCCACGACAAGAGGCAGACGCGACGGATGGAATCGCTCCCCTCGCGCAACCCCAGATTGAGTCGTTTAAGCCTTACACCAATTTCGCAAATGCCGCATATTGTGCACCCATCGTGACGGTTGACTGGAGTTGCGGCCAACACTGCGAGGCCAACCCCAACTTCAAGCCCACTGCAGCGGGAGGAGATGGCATTTTCGTACAGTTCTGTAAGTTCTGGTATCCTAGCCATTCCCTTGCTGACACGGCTCGCTAATCTCCAGCTGGCAGGGTTTGTCGGTTTTGACCCCGATCTGGGCGAGGTCATTGTTGCCCACCAAGGAACACAACTTCTCACAATGTAAGGTGGCCCGGCGGGGCGCATTCGACTTGTGACTGATACTGGATCACTCTGGATAGTGTTCCTGTCTTGGAGGATTTAGATTTACTACCTCTGCCTTTGGATGAGCAACTCTTTGCAGGTGTTGGCCTGGATGTTCTCGTTCATAGCGGTTTCTCTATAGCGCAAGCCGAGTCGGTCTCTGGCACAGCACCTTGTCCTTCGTGAGCTGACCGTACTTCAGGACGTCTCAGTTTATCTTGGCGGCTGTAAAGAATACGATGCAAGAGTTCAATACGAGTAAGGTCACGACTGTCGGGCACTCGCTCGGTGCGTCTCTACCACGAGTACTATCGCGTTTCCTTCTGACTCCGTCGCAATCCATCAGGAGCGTCAATCTCGTTGTTGGACGCGGTATTTCTACACTTGCACCTTCCTGATGCAACTGTTCGATTCGTTGGTTACGGCCTGCCACGAGTAAGTCCTAGCGACTGTGTTGCTCTGGGTTTTATCAGGCTGAGTGGACGTCCAGGTCGGTGACGACCCGTTTGTGCAACTTGTGGACCGCCTTGGGTTCCAGGTAAACCATGTAGCGAATAAGAAGGATCTCGTCCCTATCCTTCCTCCAGTACTGCTTGGATATCGACATATTAGCGGAGAGATTCATATCGACGAAGCGAACCAGTGGATCAATTGCCCTGGTACGCACATTCTTGCTTGCTTGGACTGCCATGCCCTCCTGCATTGCCTGACCTTCCGAAAATTGGCAGGTCACGACAACCCAAGCACATCCTGCACCGTCGGGGACACTAACCTTCTGCTAGACTTCAACATCTTTGATCATGCTGGTCCCTACGACGGCGTCCTCATATCTACTTTCTGCTAGTTCTTTATCGGACCGATATACCGATGACACTATGAATGCAGAATCCCGTTACTCGGTCACGAACATCAGACATTAGTGGGCAGTGTTTGTTTGCATGTGTCTGCCAGCCCGTGCCCAGCTAGAGCGCACTTGGACCTTCCAGTGGAAGCTCTCCATGTTGTGTGTTTTTCGGGTGCCCGGATTGTCGCGGTCCGTGCCCAGCGTCGTTCCTCCCCCTTACGTCCCTCCCCTGCCATACAACTGCTCAACTAACTCTGCAATCAACCTTCTGAGACAGTGTGCTGCTCTCTGTAACCCTCGCATCGGTGGCGGTACGCAGAAACAGACTATCCGTTGTACATCCTGGATCTACGGATAGCCCTTGTAATGCACTAACGATTCGTCCGTGGGCCGTGGGAACATCTCCCCTTCGTTTCAGCGCTACCATCCAAGGTGATGTTCACCTGATCAGTCATCTTGCGGTTTCCTTGGCTCATGGTCTATCGCTCCTGACGAATAGGCAGATTGCCATATACTGCAGCCCACGCTGCCAGGCCTTGACACCTCAATGCATTCACCTTGTCAAGGCTGTCATGACTAGCGGCCGTGCAGTATGCGAGTCAAACCCGTGGCGTCATCGTGCTCTGATCGCTCTCGCAGTGTGTCAAAAGCATTCCGGAGGAGGATTTGGTTGGTAGGCTGAAGTTAGATATGCATGTGCTACCCTCATTCTTCCCCATGCACCTGGTGATCCGAGTGCACGTTCGTGACGTTGTCTGCCTTAAACATCGTCATTCGGTTACTGACCGGTAATACTGGACGCGCTCAAACAGGCTTCCCTGTCACTCCCTTGCCATCAGAGGTGCGCAGTCGACTTTCTGGACCAAGACGCCTTCCGAATCTATAAGAACACTAGGTCCTACGTTCCCACTTGGCCTCGCTGGGCAGCGCTCATCGGTCGTCCGCTCAGTCCATTTCAGTTCTGGTAGCACTAAGCTGCAGCCTTCCCGCGTCACACTTCTGGTCTTCACAAGATCTTCTTTTGTCTTCATCATGGCACTTTCCTTCAAGACCATGATCCCTGTGGCGCTGCTGGCTGCCTTCGCGCGTACGGCCACCGCAGCCGTGATCAAGCGCCAGGCGGCGATAACGGCGCTTACACCGGCCCAAATCACCTCCTTCCGTCCATATACGCACTACGCTAGCACGGGATACTGCACTCCCGCAAGCACTATCGCTTGGAACTGCGGAGAAAACTGTGAAGCCAACCCAACGTTCAAGCCCATTGCGTCTGGCGGTGACGGAGACGAGACCCAATTCTGTAAGTCAGGGCCCCCTAATTCCACTGTAGCGAGCTATTTTAGTTGACGGGGAACGTGCGATGTAGGGTTTGTTGGCTTCGACCCCACTTTGGGCGAGATAATTGTTGGACACCAGGGAACGAATACCAGCGAGATGTGAAGTGCAATATTGTGATGTCATATACGACTCACTGATAGGATCTAGTCTTCCCCTCCTTGAGGATGCGGATATTATCCGTGAGAGCCTGGACCTTAGCCTGTTCCCTGGTATCAGTAGCAGCATTGGCGTCCACAGCGGTTTTGCGGGATCTCAAGCAAGGTCCGTCGGCCGGAGCTTGTGTCTCGAGGACAAGCGTCCACATAATGATGCTTACTGTTTGTAGGTCTGCTCTAGATGTGCTCGCAGCGGTCAAGGCTGGGCTCACCGAGTTTGGAACGAATAAGGTCACAGTCACTGGACATTCGCTCGGTAAGCCTCAGGCCACTGTCTTCCGCGCGGTGCTTCAATGTCAGAGACTCATCATATGGTCCGGTGTATAGGCGCGGCGATCGCGCTCCTCGATTCGATCTTCCTCCCATTGAACATTCCTGGCATCTCCACGCGCTTTGTGGGCTACGGTCTTCCCCGCGTGGGCAACGAGGACTTTGCCAACTACGTTGACTCTCAGCCCATCGAGGTGACGCATGTCAATAATAAGGAGGATTTCATCCCCATTCTTCCTGGTCAGTTCCTTGGATATCACCACCCATCGGGGGAAGTCCACATCCAGGATTCGAACGCCTGGTTAGCTTGCCCAGGTATGTCGGTATAGGCGCGCTATGTCGCGGTCTTGGTGATTGATGTATGTTCTCGGTGCACAGGTCAGGACAACTCGGACGACCGATGCATCGTCGGTGACGTACCGAACATCTTTGTGGGTGACGAGTCTGACCATGATGGGCCGTACGATGGCATTGAGATGGGATGCTGAATATGGCGTGGAGCACTATGGCTGCGGATTCTCGGACGATCGTGTGCACTGTGCTTGACCATGTATCCTTGGGAGAACAGACCATTCAGACTATATCGAGATGTGGTCAAGATTACGTGTCGAGAATTCCAACGAATAGGGATCCAGCCTGCGAAGACCTCAGAATGTTCTCGGCAGTGCATCTACCTCGTGAATTTCTAAGACTTGTAACTTCACTCGGCTGTACTCCGGCCATGTCCCCTTTCGGGTCGAACTTTTCGAGGGTTTTCTATTCGAACTCGATTGGACTCTGATCTCACATCACTACGTCTCCGAATATCAAACATGTCTCTATTCATCACAAATTACTACATCTCGGTTTCAAATTCACCAGCAGTGGCCCTCGAGTGGTCACCAGGTAATCCTTGATGGTATCGCACCATCCACCTGAATCAAATTCCTCTGCGAACTGGAGATCAAACTTCTGTATGAGCTCACTGATTACCATCTTGATCTCCATCCGCGCAAGATGGCGGCCCACACAGTTTGCCGGCCCGTGTGAGAATGGTATGAAGCCGTGCTGATTGAGTGCAGTCACGTTACCAGAGGATTCCGATTGAGATTGGAGCCATCGAGAGAGCAAGAAGGTGTCCGGCAGCGGTGAGAAGTACCTAGGGTCGCGATGGATTGAATATGGTGGAAGATAGACCTGTGTCCCAGGAGGAACATAACTAACATGAGATCCGGTGACTCAGGTGCCTAATGCAAGGAGGAGAGTACGTCAACGCACCATCCAGCTATATTCACTCCGAGTCCATCATATGGCACTTGTCGGGGGCCATTGGTAGGTACTGGTGGTTGAAGACGTAGTGTTTCATTACTGTACTTTTTCTATCAGTAGCTTGGCAGGCGGCGAGAGGACAATGGATTCACATGCAGGCGTCCATCCAAACAAGGCGATCGTGAAGAGTGATGTCGGTGGCGTCTGTCCCACGCGGATAAATCCTATCAACTTCGTCTCTTAACTTATGGTAACACTCAGTGTTTCTCAAGACGAAGTAGACGAGCGCTGTGAGAGCTCCGGCTGTCGTATCGGCTCCAGCAATCACAGCGAGGGCACCATCAGCAATCACGTCAGAAATGGAAGGCTTCTTCTTCTCCATGTGAGCCTCGTCTGACTGTGTTGTATGTCAGAAAGGGAGAGACAGAAGACTGAAACCGTGCGTACCAGATGATACCACAAGTCTTTCATTCTCGCTCCCCTCTGCATACGACCCATGGCCAGCTCGAGACCAAACTTCCGCAGCCTTTTCAAATCCCGAGATAGAAACGGGACCCTCTGTACGATCGGAAAAATCCAGGGAATGTGAGATATGATCGATGCGGCGCTGGGTGATGGATGAGAAGATGAGCGGTGTTTGAATGAGCTAGAAGTTGCATACGTACACAGAAAATCGATTGAGCATGTCCCAAAAGCCACTCTCATCGCCACCATTAGACAACATGTGCAAAGGGCAAAGCTGTCAAGTCGTCTGTCAACAACAATGAGCCTTCCATTTGAATTTCATTTCCACGTACACCATGTCACCCATGAAGTCAAACGTGAAGTACCCGATTGACTGCGAAATATCCAAGCTACCCACTGGAGCGGCAGCCATGAGGTGGACCATAAACTGCTTCACTCTGTTCGAGAGGACAGGTTCGTATTCTCTGAGACTCTCAGTGCTTAGACCTCTATTCCATAGTCGACGCCGGTTAGCATGAGCTTCGCCGGTTAAGACAATTAGGTTCCTGGGTGCGTTGGGGTCTTGGCGAGCTGAGTACCCTGTGCAGCATGAGTATAGGATAGAGTTATATGTGGTCAGCGAAGCTTACATTCACCTTTGCTGAGTCCGCTGGCACCAAGTACTTCGGTAACAGCTCTTATGTCCGCAACAGACAACTCATTAGGCCCTAAAATCAGCTACTTTGAGGATGCAGTACAACTCGTATGAGAGATCATACTCCTCGAACCTGTGCGCACAAAGGGGCCATGCTTTCGATGCAGATTTAGAAACACCCGATGCTGCGTTCCGGTCCATGATAGCCATACGCCCCAGAACTTTGTCACTTTTGCCAAGGGAGGGCCTGGATACCATGCGAGCGGATGAAACGGGGAGATCCGATACGCGGCGATCGAACAAAGCAGAGAGGCAACATGTATACTGAGGGCGCTGATGATGTCTTGCAGGCCCTTCTCACAGCCGTAGACATCGGGGAAAATGAACAGGGTGAAGAACGTCATCACAAGTAAACCGGCTGCCTGAGTCACCGGGCATGGGGATGGGGAGAAATGTAGAGCAGCATGGGCAAGCTAGAGAATAATCAGCCAACACGCTTCGCTGAAGACGGGAAGATTATCCTCACTAGACCCGAGGCCAATGGGAGATCAATGGCCATGTTGTAACCGCCGCTTGGACCAACTGAGCGTTGGCAGTCAGAAGTTTTTAATAGAGGAGAGTGTGAAGAGCCGGTGTGCAGCGGTTGACGACGATGCTGGTGTGATAGAGTAGAAACGAATGCCTTGCCTTTGGTGGAGCCGGGAGTGCGTATAACTGCTCACCGTACTCCCCACGAGGCAAGAGGCGTGGGAGGTCCATCATTCTGATATTGCAGAGCGGTGAGCATCCTCATCACGGATGGAACTAGTCCCCTCCTGCGATAGCTAGAAGGACACAGGAGAGAAGCGATGGGCGGGTGTTTGCGCGCTGAGAAGGCTGTGGACCTCGGCCACCGCCAATGTCTATGCCCTGTAGTTGTCATCTTCCCGTAGGCCCAATGCCCAAGCTCGGTTGTTCAGCACATATAGGTACGGTCTTGGGCGACGCCCATCTGTTCACTTTCAGCGTCTTGTCTGCGCGTCTGTCGCATTTGCCGTTGTGGCGCACCTCACCGCAGTATAACAAGACTTAGTTCACACCTCCGCCGTGCTGTGTACTAGCCATCTCCTCTGCCCGTCGCTCTTGTCATTATCCGTCCCAGCATGCCTGTCATTCACTACGACAATACTCTTGGGGCAGGTTTCGTTGGATGCCTATTCACAGCGACGTGTGTGCCAGTTCGACTGAACCATGTCATGATTATAACTGAGTTTCTGTCCTTACAGCTTATATGGCGTTACCTGCGTCCAAAGCTTTATGTTCTTCCAATCCTCTTCCCAGGAGCGTAAGCTATTGAAGTACTCGGTACGTACTTTCACTCATTTCCCATTATTTCCGGGTACCATTAACTCTCGATAGGTCTCCTGTCTCTTGTAAGCTCTTTCAGCTCCCGAAAGAGGCTTTTCAATCACCGATGCTCGTCCATCTCTTCAGTGTATTGGATACTTTGCATTATATACTAGTTGCTCACACCCTATACTGGTACGCGCTGCTTATGATCTTGTAGTAGTTGATTAAATCAACAGTCATCAGGTACATGGTGACGAACTTCACTGATCCAACGGTGATCGAGCGGATTCCTTGGTGAGCATCATACTGTCGCTCTGATATCCTGCCATTCATGTGCCATACAGGAGCATCTTCGTGAGTACTCGCCTCGATGCATCATTATCCCCTAACTCCCTCCATGAAAGCCGGTATACTCGTCACCGTAAGCCATCGCTCATGATCATTGTTGCGCGGACTCATTTGCATCAAGCCCACCAGTGATTCTATTGTTCGATGGTGAGCACTCAAAAGCCCTTATAATAATGACAGAGCTCGTAGCTGGATCTCTTCTTCAGCTTTTTCACCTATCGCGTCTGGGTTTGTGAGTGCTACCTTAGTCTTGAGGTCCACGTCCTGATAGAACGCCATGGGAAGTGAGCCACAAGAATCGGCTTCTGACATATCCACTGGTCCGCATATTTCTCGTATTCCCTCTTGTGACTCGTCCTTACAAAGTCACCATAGATTGTTGGCATATTCGTCATGTTTGGTAAGAAAACTCAAAGACTCTCATAGCTGTTGATTTGACTTCGCCGTACGGATAGGTGTCGGCATAGGTGAGGCGCCATGGTCTAGCAATACATCAACATGGCCTCATGCACGCTTACCTTGTAGGGTTTGGTATCAAAGGGTCGGCTTGAAGACACCCCTCTATCTACTGGAGCGAAACTGACTCTCAGCATCCAGATTGTTTCTACCAACGTTTTCCCAGCTCGCGAAGCTCTCCGTACGTACTTCCATGGCTTAGTTACCCGGTTACAGCTCACGGCTCATTGACATTCCACCACGCACAGTGGCTCATGTATCTAGGGTTGGGGCTCTTGGTTGTTTGCGACGCTTACACCGCCCTTGTGCTTTGTTATTTACTCTACAAAGGACGAACAGGCGTCAATAAAGGGTAAAATATATGATTTCCGGTGTGCTCCCGTCTACATTTGCTGAGACAGTTTTCTCCAGGACGGACTCCTTGATCAACGTTCTGTTACTGTACACGGTGAACACCGGGTTGCTTACCAGGTAACATATACTCCTACGGCCTGAGTATGCGTCTGAATAGCCATTGTCCATAACAGCATTTTTGCGCTGGCGTGCTTCATAACAGTAAGTAATTCACGGACCCTGAAAAGATGCACACTCTCTATTGCTTTCTTACAGTACGCCGCTATGCCAACCAATTATGTCTTCTTGGCAAGTAAGTAGCTATTCCCGGTGCTGAACTACAACCTCGGTGACGCTTGTGCCACAGTGTACTTCCCCCTCAGCAAACGTATGTATCCGCTTCTATACCGATACAGGTCCTGACATACCCAGTAGTATACCTCAACGCACTGTTAGCTTCGTAAGCAGCGTCATTTTTGCATCTTCAACGCTACTAACTTCATCATAGGCTGAACGCCCGAGGTCATATCGGTCGGGTGGGCGCAGACACCACTGGACATGTCAGTATTCCTTTCTCGAGCCGCACTAGAGTTGGGCAAGAGACAATTCCCATCGAATTCGCATCCCGTTCCAATGTCACTGTGAGTACAATATACACTCGGCGCAAGGTTTGACGCCTGACAAGGAGCTTCAAGCAATTGAGCGTCTTGGTCGAGAGGGAGGAATTCAAGGATGTCGACGGCCCCAAGTAGCTAATACGGCATCAGAAACTTCAGGATCAACGGTGGAGCGCCTCAGACAGTCTCAGATACTATCCGTCTGACCTAGTGCAAGCGTAGTTTTGGTCTCAAATATGATGTGAATATATGACACCTCAATGTATGACTTCCACCAATCAGCACCTATTGCGTACATTCACTACTTGCTGTTGCAACAATCCTTCTCATAAATATATCATTCCTCTGTCAACTTTTGTGGTAACCCTGATTGTGACCATAACTTTCGAGGGACCTACAACGAGGGTTATGTATCCATGGGCAAATAGCCCATGGAGAGCTCAGCTCTCCCTTCGCCCGCGAGAGAGGGGCGGTGATGGAGATCAGATGACGAGGCGAGGGCGCTGATGGGATGGCAAAGCCGGATGGAAAAGCCGGGCTTGTCCGTTGGGAAGTGCCACCCCCAGTCCCGCAATGCACTTTCCGTGTCCCCCGACGTTGTAGCTTCGCCGCTGAGCGCAGAAAGAGTGCGTCAATGTTGGCATATGACGGGGACTGAGGAGGCAGAACGAGGGAGAGAACGCGGGAGAGAACGCACCTGGAGAGGGCGCATCAGCGCATCAGTGGGCATGACGACTGATCGTCAGAAATGCATCGCGTACGACGCGAGGGTCTGCCTGACTCGCGTCCGACACCTACAACAAGAACAAAACTGCGCCTGGACGCACTCCCTGTGGCAAGAGCCTACGACAAGAGGCGCAGGCTGCGAGCGAGACAGTAAGGTAGGAGGGTAGGAGATACAGAGTACATGCGAGGGAGAGGAGCAGACTGGCCGATACCCGAAGAGGATCTGGGCGGGGCAGGCAAGGGCGGACAGGTTGGCGGGCGGGCGTCGATCGGGGAAGGCACGAGAGAGCGGGACGGAAGCATCACGTGTAAGGGGAAAGGGAGAGCTGAGCTCTCCATGGGCTATTTGCCCATGGAGACACAACCCTCGTTGTAGTCTCTACAACTTTCCTGAAGATTTTTGAGCTCGACCTGGCTCATTTCCCTTCAACGATTTGCCTCCTTATGACGTTCATGCCTATCTATGGCCCTAGCCTCCTTTCCACTTCAATCTCGAGCGCAAGGGAATATGACCTGCGAGCCTTTGCCCACAAACTCTCCCCACTTCGCTTCTCGCTCTCTTTCTACTTATACAATGCAGCACGAGTGGAAGTGGTGCTTGATGAGCTCATGGTATAGCGTAGGTCGTTCGCGCTCTCGACCGTCAGCCTGGACTCACATTGCTGCGCATCGATCCGCATCACCGCCATGCGCAGAAACACTGACATCCTTTAAGCAGCCATGTTCTCAGGGGATACATTGGACGTAATCAGGTTCAGTGTCATATCTACATGTTGCTTGTGCAAGCGGACGGCGCTGGTCACGCGGATTACTTCTTTCTCCCGCCACTTCTCTGTCGTACCCCGGAGCGATTTCACTTCCTACTGGACCGCCTATGCTTAGCAAGTATGTCTTCAACCTGCGAAAGTTGTCAGCGTGGTCAACAGCAACGCGCTCGCAACTCAGCCAAAAGCGTAATCTTAGTCAAGGACAGCCCCGATGGTAGCTTCTGCCGCCGGCGTCGCAGCGCCACCCAGGAAGTGCGCGAGCTCGCCTGCACTGGCATCATCGGTAACGCCGCCGGATATGAATACAGATACAGCGCGCGCAGTCTTATCGTGATCTAGTTGAGACGCAACGCAAGCAAGTCATTGACCCACGAGGTTCCCACCTAGTATATTACGTATTCCTAGGAGCCCGCTGCTCAACGGACGCCAATCTGTATACATCTCCCTGCTCCTATGCAGTGCACCTTGCAAGCCCTGGTGCAGCCGAGGCCGCCTCCGAACAAAGCTGGACGCGCCGTCGCCAGACCCTGCTCGAGCTCAATTGGGCGTGGTCGCGATGTAACACTACGCGCCCTGGTGCCGCGCTGTCTGTGCATCAAGCTTGGTGTTGAGGCCACATACGACGCGTGCAGCGACCCTACGGTGAATATCAGTTGTTGTCGCAACCGAGTAACTTCTCGAGCTAGCGCCGCCCCGACTAAGCCTTGTATCCATGACGCTCATTCCCCTTTGCGATGAGCCTTGTCAATAAATGCTGAACACGATAGGGAAGATAGTATGGGAGATGCAAGCAGTACTAAGCCACGAAGATAGTGCTGCCGTAGGAAACAAAGATGAGTGGGCAAGACGCGGAAGAGGACTCAGGACGCGAACTCCTGCCTCACGTCCGCACTCTCTAGCTCTTGTGAGCGCTTTAAGTTGGACGACTGCGTGTAAGCTAGGGAAGGACTTCACCAAACCAGACAATACCATTACAGGAAGGTCTTAGTCGGTAGTAGTGACGCTCGTCGAGGACCGCGCTGAAATGGGACGAGAGCGATGACGTTCGGTTATCTCTGATATCGATTAGGTCTTCGTACTTATATAATGATGTACGCTTTACTTACAATCCTTGCAACGAGACTCCCGCTGTCGACTAGTCCCTTTATCTGCTGTACAAGTGTGGCCCATAGCGTGTTATTTGAGCTCGAAGATGTCTATATTTCCTGCTACATACCAGAGTCATGATCGCTCGAGATTGTATCCCGAGGCCGAATACCGAAGCTTGCAGTAAGTCAAGGCCCCACCTGCGCTCCGACATCCGGCGTCTACATCAGTTCATGTTCCGCAACTCCGACCGCAATGGGAAATTGCTAGGTTGAAAAGTGTGGCAATCATCCTTCTAACTAACAGTCCTCTAAAGTTTCACGTCAACTGTTCAGTAACGTTTGCGCAGCGCGAGGCTTCCGGCATCCAGCCGTGCTCGAATTCCGCCGTATGGTAGTGGCAACGACATCTCAGACAGCGGTCGTCTCCATCCTTGTTATCGTCGTCACTTCAGCTTTGTACAACATGCTTTTCTCTAGAAAGTGGGATCCTCGCGGCAAGGTCATTCTCATCATACGCTCGTATCGTGTGTACATTAGCTGATGCCTGGTCACTTGACAGCACTGTCTTATCACTGGGGGCTCGCGAGGGACAGGCCTTGCATTGGCTATCCTGCTAGCAAAACGGGGTGCTCACGTTTCCATCGTTGCCCGAGATAAGCCCAGACTAGACAAAGGTCTTGAAGAGCTCGAGGCAAGAAACAATCCATCCCCTTGTCCTCACCTTGGCTGAACTCTTACTGCACCTGTGCCACGTCACTGCCTCCGCTCTCTCCAGCGAGTGCGCCAGGACCCAAAACAGATATTCCGAGCATATTCCTTCGCTGTCGACTCAGAAATCGGATCGGCCGCCGCATTAAAGGCCGCCGGAGAACCGCACGGTGGGCGATGCCCCGAAGCTCTGTTTCTCTGTGCCGGCGCATCGCGCCCAGGGTTCTTCATCGATCAAACAGAAGAGTCCTTCATGGGCGGCATCCAGATGACTCTCGGCGCACAAGCGTTCACGGCTCTCGTCAGTGTGCTCTATATAGTCTTTTGGAAGGGTAGTCTGTTGACAATTTATGTCAGGCGGCTACTAAAGAAATGGTCCGGCAAGGGGTCAAGGGCAAGATCGTGTTTGTCTCTTCGATTCTGGGACTCATGTCGTTTGTTGGCTATACCACCTATGCTCCCGGGAAGTTCGCTATTAGAGGTGAGCGCCCCATTCTTGCGTTCTGTATAGCGCAAATTAACGTCCGTTCAGGCCTGGCGGAGACTCTGCGTTCGGAATTGAAGATGTATGGAATCGACGTTCACGTGGCGTTCCCCGCGACGATCCTTTCACCAGGCCTGGACGAGGAGAACGAGGTCAAGCCAAAGGTCACCCTGAAGATCGAGGAGACAGATAGCGGTAGCCCTCCGGAGGATATCGCCGCGGGTATTCTGCGAGGTAGATACCATCCACAGCGGATATGATCAGATTTGCTGACTGTTTGATACGTCCGTCGTCAGGCGTCGAGAAGGGTTCCTTCCATATTACAATGGATTTCTTCGGCGATGTGTTCCGCGCGACCGCCGCTGGTGCGTCTCCACGGCATAACCCGTTCCTAGACATCTTGTATGGGCTCATCGGCTACGTGAGTGCCTCCTCGATTGCGTCTGATCCTATATGAAAGCCCTTCATGATCCTGAACTTCGGTTTCACCTAGATTGCGCTACCCTTCTGGCGCAAGTCGATAGACGCGCAAGTCGCCGCACACGCAGACGAGCATCGCGAGTACTGCCACACAAAGGGTTACTTGTCCTGAGCGTACCTTAGCTCAGTTTATGGCACGCTACATGTGCTCGAATTTCAATCTGACCTTCATTTCTACTCCTGTGTCCGAGAAGAGCGCAATAGACAAGGGCGTATATCTGTAAGCATCATCCCCGATGTTAGCCTACTCGGAACCACATTCTGCTTACATACACATCCCCTTAATGAACCTCAACGCCCCACACCGTGTTCCTTAGTTCATCTCACCACGGTATAGAATTTGTTCCAGTATGTATCGGTGAGGATATTCAGTGAACCTGCTTTCAATATCCCTATATTCGTCCTCAACTCTCCACAGGTAGGCGTAACTCGTGCGAATCAGGTTCTGCGGACACAGTTTCACGCATCGCGTTTTTGGGTTGCCAACATACTAACGGAGAGCCTTCGAGAATCGACGCACGCCATCAGAACTTGGAAGAGTCTGGCTTACAAACTCAGCTGATGGCCAACTTGATTGCGGTTGAGTTCAGAAGAAGCTAGCCTTGAGGTGCGGGCCACATGAGCGTCGTTTCACTGGTATCGATGTACTATTGGTCCCTACAACGCTGGCCACGAGTCTGCAGGTCTGAGTCATGAGAAGACGCCAGTGGCGGGGGCTGCATATTGAATCCGTAACTGCTTCCGAGGTCAACTCGGAGCAATCCTATCTGAGCTGCTACACAGTACCATCATCTGCTATACTGCAACTTCGAGGAGAAGCCTACCTTCGTTTTCCGCAGACCTCTGTGGACTCGCATTGCTGCTGAAGTGTGTGTCCGTTGATCCCCTTCGCATGCTGAGCTCGCGTCCGTCCCCTGTCTCGGACACTCGACATGCTTTCTGTGCATATTTTCGTTTTGTACACGGCGTCATGCAGTTATGCGGTAAAACCCTCATTGGTTTCCATCCCAGCTTCAACGTGTGGAGACAGTGAAAATGCAAGACCATCGCCTCAGTAGCTTCTTGTGAAAGTACACTCGCTACATAACAGTCATACGTAATTTGAGTCCTCGCAAAGCCTGTGACAACTTGGAAAAATAGTGTAGCACGCGGCTACTAGCCATCCTCAGGCACAGCTCATTGCCGGATTGCACTGAAGACAGACAAATTAGTGAATTTGAAAGGATAGTTATGGCGGAACGCACCGGACGAACAAAAGTCCATATCGGAAGACTCAGCCACACTCGGGAGTATGCGACTTCCATGTATATGTACATATATTCCCAACGTCGCTTGAAGACAGCAAGGGTCATCTCATTCTTCAGTGTAGGGTAGCGGATTCGAAGAGATTTCAAGAGCGTTTCCGACCAGTTTTCATTGAGTCTCCTGAAGACAATTGAGCAACGAAAGGCACATTCTGTGACTTCACATACCTGCGCCATTCACGCAAGCAGCGAGGGTAGTCTATGAATAGTGAGGCGCCTCAGCTCAATGATAAGTACATCAAGGCATACTTACGGCAACCAATATCTTCAATAGACTCCAAAGAGAAACTCCCATTGAGGGTATCTCGGAATGCGTTTGCAAGGGATGTAGAAGTAGGGAGTGTGCAATTAGGCCAATGATACTTGCGCACGAAGTCATTTCCTCTGCTCTACAGTCAGTATGTACATGTGGAAGCATAATAGCGGCGCACTGAATAGACTTATGTGTGCCTTCAGGATACGTAGTCGCAGATAGAACGACTGCAGCTCGATCGTCCTTCAGCGCCCAGTCAATTGTCTTGATGTAAGTAGACATCCACTCGCTGCCGACGGCCTTGAAATGAGGCATCAGCGGATTGGAACCCAATACATAATATAAAGGAAATTTACCTCCAGCATCTCTATGCTAATGCATGCGTCAAAAGCCTTGTGAAACTCAGGTGGGAGGTTTCGATAGTCCATTAGATGGACCCGAACAGAATGAGAAAACCCTGCCTCTTCCACCCTTTCTCTAGCCAGGGTACACTGCTCCACAGAGAGCGTGATGGTGTCCACCTTGCAGCCCAATGTAGCCGCCTGAATATGATGTGAGATTGTAAAGACAGTTCGGCGGAAATCATATCACATACCGCGATGGCAATGCCTCCCCACCCACTTCCAATTTCCAGGAGTCTGTCTCCAGGACGTAGACGAGCTTTACGGAGAATAGCATCAATCTTGCGCTTCTGGGCACTTTCCAAGTCGCCCAGACGTCGCTGCCCTTCCAAGTCCCCACGAACCCCACCTTCTTCTTGGCCCCAGATGGGGCAAGAATACTGCATTTCCGCACTCAGGAATGCCTATAGACAACATTCAGAGGTTTCCGAATGGAGGTGATCCAGCACATGGGAGTGTACTTACGCGGTATAAATCGTTGGAGGCGTCGTATCCAGCAACCTACACATCTTGGTCATCAATGAGCTTCATAGTCAGTAGGAGTATCTCACATTCTCCGCAGCTTTGGTCAGACCATGACTAAACCGTTGAATGACTGAGTCGATCACGCTCTTGACCCTGTATACCACTGTCGAGAAAGCGTCCAATTCCAAGTGATTGTCAATATAGATCTGTAAGACTGTTCAGCTCATCTGGGAAAGCTGACGGTCCTGGAGATCTCACGTTTAGTATGGTCTTCAGGTCTGGAGATGTGAACTCTCCATTTAGGAAGGCTTCGGAAACTAGAGATGGGTGGCGTCAGTGATTTGGAACATAGCGTGATATGAGATCACCTACAGCCAATGTCGTACCACACGTAGATCCGAACCCAGAACGTCTCGTCATGAATGTAGAGAGTTCCGCATCTATTCGTATTAGGAGTACTCTCTCCGAAAGTATATAAACCGGAGTTGTCGGCGATAGTCACGCTCCCATGCCTAATACCCTTTCTGAGTGCCGTACAGACCATGCTCCGAGCTTGTCCCTGTATTCAGCCATGAGTTATTCTAGAGGCACTCGGATAAACCTACCTAGCGCAACTATTTGCTGCCAAAGGTAAAGGGAGAGCCGTGGATATACGGTCCTTGAGAGGCCAACAGGAGCACATTCACTAGGAGTCATGATGTTGTAGTCCTTGGCCATATCGTCTGCTATGATAGATCGTTGATGATGGACTTCGTCGCTGTGGGGGGTCTGTGGTTCAAGCATATGAGGATAAGTATTTATAATACACTCTCAGGGGTGACTGAAATTGGCTGCGACGTACAACAATCGCAGACTAGTGGTGTTATCACGACGGCTCGCATTCTAGATGTATTCCGGAAGTTGAAACCTAGCCGAGAGTGTTCGCCGAAGAATACCAGGAAGGCACTTAGCAGTGGCCCCGATTGTTAGCGGAGTCAGAGCTGAAGCCGTTTCCGATGAGTGTCATCAACCATCATCGTTCAATTCCCTCGAACTATAGCCGGACGACAAATGAACCGATAGTGTGGAATTCATGGGTACAGGAAAAGCCATCCAAAAGCGTACTCCGTTCCCCGTTGCCATTTTCGACTCAAGGCAGCGACTGCATGAACAGTCAAAAGAGGCATTGCATGCAACTTCTTGTGCTGATGACACAGTGAAGCACCCAAAAGAAATTATCCATGTCCAAGCTTAGGGGGTGACAGTGGTCTTTGTTTGCGAGAGATGGTCGATGGTAGGAAAGAAGTTTCACTGACTCCTCCAACCGTCACACTTCTAAGATTGTAGAGATGTCGGATATTCAAACTAGGGAGGCCACAAGATGCCTGTTTCAAAGACATTTCAAACACATCGAAGGTATCAAAACAAGGAATTGCAGAGCTCCTTTTCTGTCGAGGCCGCGGACGACGCAAGTGAAAAGAATGCCGCAAAAATCGCGATATCGCCATTGTCACATAGCAGTCGAGACAAATTCAGAGTGAATTTTTGCGAGACTCGGATAGAACAGTGTGTGCAACAATCTGGTCCACGAAGCGGAAGGGATGACTCCACCGCTATTCGAAGGACTAGAAGCTCAGATGGATAATACATCACTGATATCGATGACGGTTCTGAGAGCTGAGCGCCGGAATCACTGTGCGCGCCGCAATAGCAGTGAGCGCATCAGATGAGAAGCCCTCGTGGGTCCTGCTGCTTCCATTTCTCTTACCGTTGATAGCGCTCCCACTGGGTTCTAGTTTTCTCGTATGATTTTGTCAATTCCCGTGTCCTGACTGGTGCCGGCCCCGCGGTCTCGGAAATATCCGAACCGGGAGTCGAGGTCTTCCTCTGCTCGCTCGAAGGGCACTCGATCTCATACCTTGTGTCGATACTCACCATGTCTCTCATTTGTGAGCCCCACCAACTCCTCCTGCCGGAATCTCACCTACTTGTTGCTGCCAACCGATACCGCCATGAATCCAGACTCAACAATCGAGACGGGGTCACGCTCGTTATTGCGCACTGCAGCAGCGGCCGTGAGTGTTAACCCTGTCGTATTCCTTATCGGACTCATCATCTACTCAGACAAGGAACAATGGTTGCCTACCCTCACTATGTTGTTTGACCTCTGCTTCAAATCTACTGCCCTTCAACCTGGCTGGCGCGTGCGGGAAGCCTGGGCACTGGATGCACCTAACCACGGTGATTCTGCCCTATTGAATAGAGCAATTCTCTGTGGGCATCAGCCGCTATGTGGGTGCACACTCCTGTATCAGATGCAGGTACTAATTCAATGTGATTCTAGCTATTCAAGACTATGCCAGCATGCTCGGCTACTTTGTGAGGTCTGAATTTGTGAAGGGACACAGCATTGTGGCGGTTGGTCACTCTGCGAGTACTTCCGCTTGGTAAGAAAGTCTCATATGCTCACAATTATCAAAGTCTAATGGATAGACTACATAGGACCCTGGTGTGCGGCGGAAATGATCCACCCTCCCTTCGTGCTCTCATACTCGTGGAACCGGTCATGTTGCCGCCCCCGATCAGCGAGGAATCTCTTAAGAAGGGAGACACCAACACTGCTGGAGTGCTTGCTCGTCGAGAGTTCTGGGAAGACTTCGCCACTCTACGGACCTGGTTGCTTAAGAGATACCCTTGGAAGATATGGGACCCACGGGTGCTTGAACTCTATCTGGTGCCTCGTCTACTTGATGTTTTCGTGTTGACTATGCTCACCGCCGACATAGAAGTACGGTTTTGTCGAGGACACTGATCCCAAGACCGGCAAGATGGGAGTCACACCCAAGTCTCGTAATGCCCAGGAGGTGGGCTACTACTATGCGAACGACCATATTGTCGCAGGAAAGTTGATCAGTAAGATGTGCGCTCGGTACCCTGTCCATGCTGTTTTTAGCGAGCGTCCGGAGCTGGTGTAAGTAAAATCATAAACGTGCTCACATGCGCTTATTACTAAAGCAAGGATTCAAGCTCCTTGGCAGCTCGCGAGGGGATATGCGATGTCTCGGAAGGCCGTGTGATGGCTTCCATCTCAGTTGTCCCAAACTGCGGCCACTTGGTTCGTGTTTTGGGTGTATGCTGTTGGTATATCCTGACTCACATGCGGCTAGGCATTACAAGAGAACCCTGACGGTGTCGCTCAAGTGATATACTCCATTTTTTGCGCTTCATCTGAGAAGGATAGCAATGAACAACGCCCTGCAGCGCGTCTTTGAGCGTGGCTTTTTTTACGAGCTACCCTACCCCGTTCGTGTGTATCATTCGTAATACTGCGCATGTGAGCATCACCGTATGAACTCCGTCGCTGATCTTTCTTTTTTCATGTCCGCATTTGTCCAAAGGAGACTAAACGATGAATAGAGCACAGTCGATATCCCAAGTGATCTAAGAGCCGTACATATATATATACGCTACCCCCCACGAGGCGCCTCATGTCGGCCGCCTCCGATGGGACACCCCAGACAAGAGTGCAGAGCCCGACTCCGAGCTAGATCTCGGCGCGAGGACCCGAACGACGCCTCAGAGGCCGGCCCATTCGAGCCAGGCGGGGGCTCGCCGCGCGCTCTAACCCTCTGAGGAGACGCCGCGCGACCGGCTGGGGTGTACATCGGGACAGACGAGCAGGAGGCCGGCGACGAAAACGAGGGACATGCTGCCTGCGACGACGTAGATCGTCTTGGGGTACATCGCGACCGTTTTGCTGTAGACGATTTCCGAATATAAGAGGCTAAAGGGCACGCGGGTATACTATCACCAATGACGAAGCAGGAAGACGGTGAAGGGAGAACGCACCATGACAATTGATCATCGGTCCAAAAACCTGCACCAGAGGGATGTTAAGATAAGAAGGAGATTTAGTAGCTCAGCTTCACGATACATCAGCTGTTGCTAATACTCCAGCTTAACACGAGAACCGACCCGTTTGGCACCCTGGTCATAGATATGCTCGATTGCACCGAGAGGCTCTTCCGCAGTTGGGGGTCGTCGGAACGACGACGCAGCCGCCTTGGTCTTCTTGCCCAGCGACTCCGAAAACAATAATAGCACAAGCATCAGCTGAACGAGCAACGCGAGAGCAGCGACGTAGAAGATGAGTGGATAAGAGCGGAATTACATAGAGCCGCGTCGAGCTCCCTCTCGTCTGTATAGAGCTGGCAGATGTCGGCTGAGGCTGTGCAGTGGACGACGGGGTAGCGCCCCCAAGGACCAAGGTGGTGGTGACGTTGTGTGCGAGAAGGTCGAACTCGGGGAAGCAAACCCATGCGCTCGCCTCATCAGTGTGATTATCCTTTGGACGATGGTGAGACAAACGCGCTCTAGAGGCCAGTGCACAAGGATGTACTTACGAAGTCGACGACGACGACCTCAGGTGCTTAGAGCTCTGACTGTGCTCCCTCCACCACGACCTGGGCCTGGATCGCCAAGACTGCGAGGAGTCTCAAGAGAACGTGCGTATCTTGGCAAGAACACAGCTGTTTCGTCGATTCTGAAAGGATGCATGTACCCAGCAGTTGTACGAGACGTCAACACGCTTGAGGGTGTGGGGAATCTACCGGGGCCAGCGAAGTGCTGCGAAAGGATAGATAGCAGGACCGGCGCTGCGGCAGATATAATGGCCTTCACTGCTGACAACGCATACTAGACACACGGCGGCGCGCTCAACATGAACACGCACCTGATGTCTGGCATGGATAGCCATGGCGTCCGCTCCCTAGTGCCTCTGCAAACTGGGGGGAGATACAAGCAGACCTACCTTATATAGATAGGCGGTAGGGACAAACGTGGGGACGGGGATCCTACGACACAAGTCTCCACGCTAAGGAGGGGTAGTTGCAGGGAGATTCAACTCATGTTATAATTAGGGGGGGAAAGGAAGAATATCGAAGGAACCGAGGAAGAGCTAGCGATCTTAGAGCACTGGGAGCACGAGATTACAGGGAATAGAGAACTTGCCTAGATGCGTGCAGAAGTGGAGAGACAGAGGGCAAGCCACGCCGAGAGGTGAGCAGATGGAAAGGACAGAGGAGGGACTAGCAACATGTGGCGTTCCTGACATCGTAGAAGGGCAGTCGTACAGCGAGGAGACACACCAATCGGGCCCAGAGAGTGCCTGCAGGTCGACAGGACGTTTGGCGTCAGCCCTGAACCAAGGATGACCCGGACTCGCCCCAGCAGACAGAAAGCAGATCACAGAGAAGATATAGCATCCCTTGAGGATTTGTTGAAGGGTGACATTCGCCGTCTAGCATCTCAAGGCGTGTCTACGACGCAGACAAGGCGGGAAAGGTAGTAGGATGAAGAAAGCGCCGAGAGTCCAAATTTGACTTCCGCATCAATTGAGACCAACGGCTCCTTCCGTTCAACATGCGACTTGATACCTTTTGCACTTGGTCTAAACGACCATGCATCTCTTTTTTTCCTCACGCGGACTTCCTTTCTAGTGGAACACACAACACGGCCCAACGATCGTAAAACCTCAATTTCCAACCGTCGCCACCAATCTCGCCGCCCATCACTTCTGCGTCCTTCAACCTGCAAGCAGCGTGGGGAAACAAGCATCTGTCCGATGTCCTGCGGTGAGACGTGCCTTCCCCACCCCACCTTCACGAACCTCGCTACTACTTGCGCCAAGTACCGTCATGCCTACTCTTCAATATGTCCATGGCGTGCGCACGAACATAATAAGCGTGCAAAGCCAGACCCCATCTCCCTCTCCAGCTCCACGGTCCTTGTGCGCGATGAAGATCCCGTTGCTGATCGCATACAAGGGTTACAATGCGGCACAGTGTCGCTCGAATGCAATGGTCACGGCGTTGCAGATCCCTTACTCCAAGTCGTCACCAGTCGACCCGGTAGGCGAGCAACGAAGCGGTGCCGTTAGAGGGGAGGTTCATACTCTTCAATGTGGCCACTCGAAATGTACACGGTTATACATTGGCACGATATGACTAATACGGACGTTCTAGATAAAGGTCCTAAGGTGTTCAGTGAGAGCCAACAAAGCCAAGCTCTGGCCGTAAGGCATGGTGGTGAGAGGTATATCTTTGTACTGCTTGGCATCATGAAAGACCGGTGTACCAAATGATGTCTGCCTCAGCTCTCCCTCCTCCGAGATATTTGCGAGCACGCCCTCCATCGCCTTCCTTGCTGTGTCCACGTAGCGCTCCTCTCGTGGGATCAGCCGTAGGCGCAGCGCCTTCGAGATGCCGTACGCAAAGCCCGCCGTAGCCGATGCCTCCAAGTACGACGACGGGTCGTCTATGAGCGTGTGCCAGAGGCCAGTCTGAGGGTTCTGATACTTGACCAAGGCGTCGATCTGGGCCACAAGAGATGTTGTCAAGAATTTGCGAACACCATCGGTTTCGGGCAACCCGAGAAGCTCGATGAAGTCGGGGATCGCGACAGTCACCCAGCAGTTACCCCGACCCCAGCGCGCCTTCCCAAAATGGTGGTGTCCGTCAAACGTCCACCCTGGAAGCAAAGTCGTCTCTGATGCGGCCCGGGAGTAGACGAGTACCCAAGGACGCACCATGGAACCAGAGCCCCGTTTTCAGGTCCTGGAGGTATTTGATGCTGTGTCCTTTAGCTTGCTGCGCACCCGACATCTGACTATAAACTCACTGTAGGATAAATTGGCGTTTCGCCTCTTCGACGTAATGCGGTCGATTGAGGACAAGGCCAATTTTCGCCAGCGGGAGAACGCTCATCATGAGTGTGTCATCCCACAGTTGCTGGGAGTTGTCGGTGAGGTACGTGATATGTTGGAGGCCGCCCTCTTCGGTCCGGGGCATGTCATACATAACCCACTCCGCCCAAGAATCGAGGTGGACGAAGTAGTCCGCGACACCTTTTTCGTGCAGATAGGCGGCAGTAAGCAATGGGGACATGGTATTGACGTTCTGGTAGAGATGTCGCATCAGTAGTTTGCTAGCTAAGTGTAGTACGGACGCGGAGACGCACCTTGGTGGTACCGATCTCGAACCTGTCCTTGAACCACTTCAGCGCTATATCGAGCGCTCGTTGATCCCCGGTGATCTCGTGGAACTTCAGCAGCCCGTAGAGACCTGACGTCGTTGTGTCAACTCTAGTCCCTGTGACCATTGAACGGTACCTTACCGACTCCATGTGTCCACTGTCATACTGGTGAGTGTTGATGATCAGGTACTAGTCTTATATGATGTGCTTACCTCCCAATCCTCCCAGCCTTTTGTGTCGATTATGCGGCCATCGGCGAGAGGCATGAGGAACTCGCCCGTCTCATCCTTGATATTGACGAGGCAAGTGATCAAGTTGTTGATGTGCTTGATCGTAGCGACCTTGGCAGGATTGACATTTCTGAAAGACATGGCTATTCGTGTCGAGGCTGGTCGATCGTCGTACACTCTTAGCGGCCTCCTTTATGTGCCTGTGATTGACCTCTTGGCGCAGGCGGCGGCGGTCCGGTCTTGCGGGCCAGGTCTTGCGGCCTGGCGGGCCGACGATCACATACCCCGCATTTTCCCGCATCTTCCAGGGTCCGGGTGATTGGCGGTGAAGCGAGTCGTCCAGCTGGATCGGAGACTTCTTTGTTCAATTTCGCAGCTGACCCCATGGGGTCAGCTGGTACGGGCCAAGCCTAGTTCGAGGCGCGTATAAGATATTTGGTGTCGAAGTCGAGTAACGGCGACCTCGTCTTGCCTCTTCCAACCTGCGCCCGGCAGTATGTCAGGACTTGACAAGCACGACCCCTCCTCCCAGGTGCTCGAGCGTCGAATCGAAGATGTCGAGAAGGACATCACGTCCGTGACGAGCAGGGCGGAGACTCAACGTATGTCACTCATACAAGTTCCTCAAGTGCTTTGACTGACTCGTCTTGTGTTACGTCTCTAGCTGCTGCTGGTATCGATGCGGAGGTTGCAGGTAGGCCATGTTACTGTAGACAGCTGTCGCCGCGAGTTTCCTCTGACAAATTGACATTCAGAATTCTTTGCGACGCAGGGAAAGGGACCCATTGAGATAGACGAGGCGACGGATCGGAGGTTGAGGTGGATGATTCACAAGCGTGTCTTGGTAGGAACCCAATGTGCACCGACCAGCTATGCCCAGCGTTGGGCTGACTACCTTTCCCCCATAGGTGGTCATGGTCGTCACGTACTTTGCCCAAACGCTCGACAAAGGGTGAGAGATGATTCGACTTGAAGTTGAGTACCTGCCACTAAAGAGGCGCTTGGTAGAACGATTAATTTCGCGTCCATCATGGGGATCGTCGATGACACGCACCTTGTTGGACAACAATACTCTTGGCTGACGACTTGCGGTATGTCTTCCTACCTGATACACGCTGTATGATCATGAACTTACACTACCCAATCGTAGTGTATCTTGCCATGTAAGCTCAAATGCCTCTCATTCTTCGAGGTTCGGCTCAACAAAGCGATCTGCAGTCTTGCCTGGGAATTCCCTACGAACAGACTGATCCAAAGGCTGCCGATTGGGAAGTATCTTGCCTTCAAGTGCGCTCTCCACACATTCCACGCTTCACCTACCACTTAGCGAGCACCTGTAGCATCTCTGCGTGGGGTGCAGTCCTTGCGTGTACCGCTGCATGCAAGAACTTCACAGGTCTTGTCATCGTCCGGACATTCCTTGGCATCTTCGAGACCGTTTGCCAGCCTGCATTCGTCTTTCTGTCGACCATGTGGTACCGACGTGAGGAGCAAGCACTGGTCATCGGCGCGTTCTACTCCATGAACGGTTTCCAGCAATGCGTTGGCGGTTTGCTTGCGTACGGCGTCGCCCATATCCAAAATCAGCCCCTGAAGAACTGGCAAATCTTGTTCACTGTGTGTGCGGCTCTTTTACGTTGCCATAACGTGTTGCCCTAACAATCATTCAGCTGCTTGGATCTCTCACCTTCGCTTGGGGAATCTTCGTCGGTTTCTGGCTTCCGGATTCCCCCATGCGGGCCACGTGTTTCTCGCCTGAGGATCGTCTGCTCATGGCGGAGCGAGTAAGGAAGAACGAAACTGGAATCTAAAACAAGGAGTTCAAGGTGCGTAAACAGTTCTAGGTCACTGGTCCTCCGGCTCACGAAGTCGACAGTGGTACCAAGTCCGCGAAGCCTTCACTGATCCTGTCGTGCTGAGTTGTACCTTGATTTCTGTACGCCACACGCTCCCCTCCTGCGAATAACATTCTCACGTGGGCTTCGCCTTCCAGTTCACCAATGGACTCCCTCCTGGCGGTCTCGGCGCATTTTCCAACCTGATCATCAGGGCGTTCGGTTACACCACGCTACAAACGTACCTCCTCGCCATCGCTCAAGGGGCAATCATCATGAGTTTCCTCTTCAGCGCTGCCTACCTCTCCAGGAGATACAACCAGAAGGTACTGTTTGGAATCATTTACACATTGCCTAGCATAATCGGCACCATCGTATTCTTGAGTACGTCGCTAAAAACTCATTTCGTAGTACAGAGGCTGATGAATCGGACAGCCGTTCCAACCGGGAGTGACACGAAAGTTGGCCTCCTGATTTCATTCTAGTAAGTTCAGGGCACGGCGTTCTATCCCTGGACATGAGTTGAATCTTTGCTTTAGCCTAACGATGGCATTCGGAGCGGTGTCGGTCCTGAACCTCGCCATTATGTCGAACAATGTCGCGGGGCGCACGAAGCAAGTCGTCGCTTCTTCCCTCGTCTTCGTTGCTTGGGCCGTCGGGAACGCGGTCGGCCCACAGGTGTTCCGCTCTAACGATGCTCCGCGATACACGAAAGCGTTCATCGCGCATCTCGTGGTCTATTGCGTGCAAATCGCTGCACTCTTTTTCCTTCGTCTATACCTTATGCGTCTGAATCTCTTGAAGCGGCGCGCAGCTGCCCTGAGGGAGACGACGGCTGGCGGTGAGCAGAGGGTAAGTCTTTAAGTTTTGTTCCAGTGGCATTTCCTGGAGACTGGGATTATTTGCCTGACAGGACGAGCACATAAGCCATACGCATGCCTTTGACGACTTGACGGACCAGGAGAATGCTGACTTCCGGTATATATACTAGGCTTGCGACAACATGATCGTTCGCTCCCACACTCTTACCCCCGCTCTCACGTCCATCTCTGCACGATGTTTCCTGAACGATTGACACGCTGTATTACTAGCACACGACTTAGGATTATGGCTCAGACGACAAATATATCTTAACAAGTCATTTAGTGCCAGTGTCACATGCAGATAAGGGACTAACGGGCATGAAGGGAAGAACGCGGAACGTGAATGGGCCTCCCATGGCCACTAAGTAGTGTGGCGGAATCATGATCGATACTTCCCTAAACCGACCTTCTAGTGGGGATAGGCAGCGCCCACTAGCCGATGTTCTGCTTACATAACGGTAGCGCTCAGAGATTTTGTCCGATCGAGTTATCTAAACAAACGACTCTCATCTAAGCGAGCTCAACTCGATCGAAAACGTATCTAGATTGTACTCCGACATGGATTGGAGTGGTATACGGAGGCTTGGAGGTCATAACCGTGTTCAGACAAGGAACAAAGGTGCGGTTTGAGTCTCGGAAAGACCAAAACCCTGTTGGCACGGCGTAGGTTTGGGTGAACCATTGACATGTCTTGCAGGATGTTTTGCTGCATAGGATGATCGCACTGGTCGGGAGAGGACGGAGGCAACAGGGTTGGCTGGGTCTGCCAGAGGTGTAGGAGGGATTTTTCTATGTTGCGATGCTTCTAGCTATTTATATCGTTTATACTCGTGCTTGGAAGAGCTTTCTGCGCACATGAGCGGCGAGCCATGGCGTATAGGGGAAGTGAGCTGGTAGGCTGGTACTATCGTTTTGGGTAGTTATCGCAGCTCCTGTCCACTCAACGCCGAGCGCTTCTACATTATGTAAGCCAGCCACCGTCCACAAACATCGTGATTTTTACCCTGCTGGGCTCACTTTGAGCTCTGGGTGCTCACACAAAAGTTGTAGAAGAGCTAACACACTAGCGATTCTCTCGTGCAGTTTTTCCATTTACCTCGTATCTACATATCTAAGCCCTAACTCGAAAATCGCCACGAGAGACCTTGTGCATTCGATGTCCATGATAATTTTTCACCACTTGTCTCAGTCATAATGGGGAAGTACGGAGAGAGATCTTTCTTTTACCTGTCGACCGCCCTTCAGCCACCAGCATTCCTTTCCGCTGTCCTGCCGTCTTATCGAGCCGTCGTCTAGAGGAGATTACCGCGCAATTCAAGCCCCGTCCACATCTAGAGGCATAAGCGAAGGCCGGGCGCTCTGACGCGCGCCTCCTCGGTTAACCCGGGCGCTGCCTATCCCCACTTCTAGCAGAGACAGCATACGCACTAGGTTTATATCCGTGACTCATGATGAGAGGCTCGAAACCGACTTACGTGCTCCGGCTAGTCGGGGTCCGGAAGGTTGCCCGGGCGCCATCATGATCGGACTGCCTCCATCAACGGTTGGGTGTCGGCGCCTAGAAGTCAAGAACCTTTTGCTCCTGATCACTTACGCGGAGTGTTTTTGACCTCACTGCCCACGCGTGCCTTTAAGCTTACAGAAGCCGTCATCAGTTCCTTCGAGCCGCTCCCCATTCCTCTGACATGTCAGATCCTCGCAAACACTCCAAGGCTCACGTTCGGGCTGCAGTACCCTCAGAAATGGACGACGTTGCGCGTGTCCTTACTCGTGCCTTCGTAAATGACCCGGCGATGAACTGGTATGGGTGTGTCAGGGAGCTGGTGAAGGATCTGGACCGTCCGACGCCCTCGGAGCGGAAGACTATTAGGAACCTAAACTGGTTCCAGATTGCCCTCACCAGAGCAACTCTTCTTGTGGGCGGTTTCATAGACGTTGTTGTGGTCCCTTCCGAGAGCGATTTTAGAGAAGAGAATATCGTGGCGGTCGGGATTTGGTTGCCCCCTGGGGAGACTCTGGATCTCCCGCCCATGACATTCCTTCGGGCGGGCCTACTGAAGGTTGTCTGGGGATGGGGCCTGACTGGTGTCAAGGCGAGTGCCATTTGCCAGTGTGGTTCTGGCTCGCAATCGCTAACTTGATATTTGAATAGAGAATGGTTCTAGACTTCACTCCCGCAGTTGAACGTGCCCTCGAAACAGCTTTCAAGGCTCGTGGGCGGGATCGCCTGGACTCTTGGTATTTGTTCGAGATGGTAGTCGATCCAGCTCACCAAGGGAAAGGTAGGGACGTAGTCTGCCAGCGACAGTGACTTAGCTGACATTTTGGCATACAGGATATGCTTCCATGTTGATGGAGGCGGGATTTCAACGGACGACGCCAAAACCAGTTCACTTGGAGGCTACGAAAGCAAGCACGCGCGATATCTACGCACATTTTGGGTTTGAGGTAGGTATCCCTGTGCAACTCTATAGCTTTGCTCATCGCGTTGCTAGGTGAATGAGGAACACCAGTTCGGAGTTGGCGCAGTGGACAAGAACGGCCTCACGGCTCGCGGAGAAGCCGCCGCTGGATATCCAGAATGGGTCATGACGAAGGTGCGCATAGAGAACGATCATGGATTTCATCGTGCGGTTTGCTTACGTTTGGCACAGTGGGAGACATGAAGACATCTTGCGCATCTATACGCTACCTACGTACGTCACATCTGCACTTCGCCCCCCACGCACAATCGCCTGAAGATTGAGTCAGAAGACGCATAATACGTACATACCACACTAGTGAAAACTCTGTCCTTTCTAGCTCCAGTAAAAGCGGCGAAGATTTTCTTCAGAAGTGCGCAATCGTTGAGAATGACCTTAGACAAACTCCCCTAGGGATTGGTTGGTGCTTCCCACTGGACCTATCAGCCATACGTATAGCGACCTCGATTTATCTGTGCAAGTCGCATTTAATTTGAATGAAATTAGACTCGGAGATTAGATCTAGTACTAGTATATGGTACAATGCCAATATGCAGTCCCCCTGTTACACGCCGGTGGTGTTGAATTTGCAAAAGACTGCTGAAGGAGAGGCGAAGGAAGGGACAAAGTCAACGAGAGTGGGAATGAGCAGTGCTCAGAGGTATACAGAAGCTATGGAGAATGCAAGCCGTTCATGAAACCATTCGAATCCGGGCCCTCACAGTCTAGCCTGGAGCGTTGGAATCGATCGCAACTGAGGTTGAGCGGCTCGCGCCTGCATGGACGCTGCCCATTCTAGCATACGAGTGACCAATTCCCTGAGTTCTTCGGGCTTGTTGGCAGCGTGGACAACTACCCGGATACGCTCCTGACCGCGAGGCACCGCAGGATAGGGAACGGATGTGCAGGCGTAGCCGTATCGTCGAAGATGCGCTGCCAGCAAGACTGGATGCTCCGTCAGTATAGGAAATATTGGGCTGACAATGTCGTTGGGGAAGTCTCCAGGGGCCTTCCGCGGAAGCAGAGAGAGGAGGCTTGGTGGAACGTGCTTTAGGGATCCTTCCACTAAGCGGTGAAAATGTTCGGAGAGGCGGTGCAGACGTTCGCGTGCCTAGTAAGAACTTATGAGCTATGGACTACGGTAACGAATCCCTAACACATACCTCGTCACCAGCGTGACTACCAATGTGATCGGGGGAGGCATCGAGGAGGCAGACCAAAGCCCCGGGCATTGACGTGGAAAAGATGAATGGTCGACCGTAGTTGATGATATAATGTCGCACGATGGCAGATGTGAGGAGAACGGCTGCCCAGGGAAAACTTGTTAGAATAGAACGCTGCTAACGGGATCTCGTAAACATACCACCACTAGTAGCACGCGCTTTGCCAAACGGATGAAGAACAGTGTCGATCCGTCCGGTCAAGCCAAGCGCTGCAACAAATCCGCGCCCTTGAGAGCCATAGATTCCGGTAGAATGCGCCTCGTCAACCATGATGTGGCCGCAGTTTTTGGATACCAGCTCGTCCACAGCTCGTACGATCTCGTGAAGGGGTGCGAAATCGCCGTCCATGCTGTACAAGCTCTCCACGGCGACGAAGACCGTAGCTCTGCCCGCCGCAATGGCTGGGTGCGCCGCCAGCACGCCGGAGAGACACTCGCGAAACGAGGCGACGGAGTTGTGCCGGAAGGGGAATAGCGCGCCCTTGGCGCGGGACTCGGCCATGCCATCGCGCGTGGAGGCGTGGACGAGCTCGTCGTACACGACCGCGTCGCCCTCCTGCGGGATGGATCGCCAGAACGCGACGTTCGCGTCGTAACCAGAGTTGCAAAGGAGTGCGGCGGGGGCGCCGAAGAAATGCTTCATGCGGGCCTCGAACACGACGTGCGCGGCCGTGTTGCCGTTCAGGACACGCGAGCCGCCGCTACCGAGAATGCGGCGTGTGTCGGCAAGCGTTTTAAGGGCTGCGATACGAAGAGCTGGATCGAGCGCGAGGGAGAGGTAGTCGTTGGAAAGCAGGTCTGATGCCGACGAGGGGACCTCTTGGAGCAAGTCCAGGGTAGGTATTGACCGTTTCTGGCGATACGCGATAGCCTGACCGAGCGCGGTAGCAAGAGGACCGGACATGATTATTCTACGTTATATAACAAAGTTTTAGGATCAACAGTCTGGTGAGGGAGATTCAGGCATACCTGCAAGAGCCACGACGCAATATGCGCGCCGGCTGTTCGGGGCTAGACGAGCACCGTAGTAATTACAGATGTTGTATGTCTGAACGATTTCCTAAGGATTCTGTGAGTGTCGATAGCGTTTTAACAGCGACATTCGTTTACCCCCACGCACCTGGTTGCTTGGCCTCTTCGTTATGTACAGCGTTTGAGAGCAGGCAAGACTTGAGTTGGGAACATTCACGGGAGGTTGAGACGATGTCATAGGAATAGCAACGACGCAGGGTGCAGGAACTCGTTACTCGCCAGATCCGCTCTGCCGAGTCGCTTGAGCTATCTTACGATAACGAGGCCACATCTCATGCAAACTCGTTCAGCAAATCGAGCCTCTGGACATCGAGCCTCTGGACACCGAGAACCAATCGTAGGCGCAGGACTGGACGGTGCAGAGCATCAGGGGTATCATGAATCGTGGATTACGCGATGATGGTCTCTCGATATCAGCGGGAGAAAGGATCATCCGTACGAGTTCGAGGCAATGTGATCGTTGATGGAGTGGTCGTCAGACGCTACGCAGCCCAAATAAGTAGTCAGCACGGACCGCAAGATCAGCCTAATAGCGTCCCGCACAGCGGTAGCCTTGCCTGCGCCCGCGTACGTCTCTAGGGCTCCAACATCACATTACAATGAAGCGGATCACCTCCCCGCATAAAGATCGACTAGAAGCAACGTATCCCGCCCTCCCTCGTCATCGCGTGTGGCCCCGCCATAGCGCGACAGCGTCAGCTCTGACCGTTCTCTGGCCAGACAGCAGCGCGGGGCCTCTGAGTCTGTCCCCTTACGACCACTGACGACATTATGTCAGCGAGTTTTCCGCTGTCGAAAGCATACTTCGTGGCGCTTTTCTGCGAAGCCATCCTGCATGGTACGCGTGCCCATAGGCCGTCTAGAGAGTGGCGTATGCTGAGAGGATTGCAGGTATCTTCACAGTATTGGCCGGCGGTGCGGTGTATCTGCTTCTGTAAGTACGAAATCTGACAGTCCGGAGATCCGACCCAACCGACCTTCGTTCACAGCCGTAAGAGGAGACAGTATGAGCGGAAGGAGAGAAACATGACGACCAATACGGTCATGTTGTTCCTGACTGTACTCATGTACAGTCTCTCGACGGTGCATATAGCCCTGTCGCTCCGCCAGAATCTTATCGCGTTCTTCGCCCAGCATGCGGCTGAGGGTGCACTGAGTATTCTCAACGACCAGGGGAACCCGATAGTGTATATGCAAATCCTTATTGAGGTCGTCAACGTGAGTGAATTAACTCTTTTCTAGGCCAGCTTTTTTCACTGACGATCGTTGTGCTGCTTTCCCAGTGTCTTCTTGGTGTGAGTGATTACACTATCCTGCCACTCGTGCAAGCTGACACGTACCCTAGGATTCAATCGTGTGCTGGAGGGCTTGGGTCCTCTGGGGAAGAGACTACAGGGTCGTCATTCCCCCGATACTATGTATTTCGGGCGGCCTGGGTACGTACCGACCTCTTGACCAAGCGATCCGACCCAGAGCGATCTCATTCGGGAATTTTCCTGCTATAGCAACAGGGATCGGGATGGTGCACGCCTTTGCGGTATCCCCGCCTGGCCAGGAGGTCTACGACGCCGACATTACAAGTTGGTTCTTGGCTTTCGGTGTCTTGACGTGCATATCGAACATCTACTGCGTCGTGGCCATCTCGTACAAGGCCTGGTGCGTGAACGTCCTCCCGCTCAATCTCGGAATGGTGCAACTTACTCGCCAGAGACGCCAGGGCGACGTTCCGCAACATGCGCCAGTACAGTAGGGGCATGGTGATACGCGGCGGCAAGTACCACAGTGCGCTGCTGATCATCGTCGAGTCGGGTGTCCTGTACTGCGTGGTCCTCGTAAGTCGAGGACGCAAACTTGGCCGAGACGACATGTGCTCACCTGTCCGCGCCATAGATCATCACAGTCATCTTGTTCGCTTCGGACAACAACGGCGTCTACGTCATCGCTGATATGCTCAGCCACCTGACGGTAAGACATCTCGCAAAGTTCTGCAGCGCGACACTGCCGTGCTGACGCGCACACGGTCCGCAGGGGATCTACCCCACCGTGATCATCGTGCTCGTCAGCCTGAAGATGACGTTCTACGACGACGTCGCCCGCGCGCAGAAAACGCTGACCACGTTCCAGGCCGAGGCCCCGTCCGGCGAGTTCAGGACGACGGTCGACTCCCGGAGAAGAGCGCGCGGCGCAGTCGAGTCTGGCGAGTCTGGCGAGACGGAGAGCACATACGTCCTTGAGCCCATGTCGTTCGCCCCGCGCCGGTCGCTCGACTTGCGAGGGGCATTCCCATCAAACGTTTCCGCTAAGGAGGACGGTCTTATATGTTAAGATATCAGATGTAGGCCCTAATTATCGTACATACCCTAATGCGCACTTTTAGCGCGTTCGCGCTTCGTCCACGAGCTGCTGGCGGTGTCTGGTCTTCTCCACGAACTGTCCTGTGGTTTTGGTCTACCGGTGAGAAATTATAGCGCTTCACTGACGATAGGTTCTCACCAAGATGACATGTTCATTCCAGCTGGGAGCGAGACCATATGCAAGCCCGGTGAGGTAGTCTGTCTCGCTGTCGCTCAGCAGGGCCCGGCAAGGGCCTACCGGGGATGCCCTCCAAGCGTCCTGAGTAGCTGGTCGGACTCTCGTTGCGGTCCGCTCTCTGAGCAGTCTGAGCGTGTTTATTCGAGAGGGGCCTATCTTTATGCAAACCCTTGTAAGTATCAACCTTCGCATGATGTGATTTTGTGAACGTTGGTCTTCGTGAATGAAAGGAGGGCTGCGGTTGCTGCTAAAGTGATCGTCGTTATGGATTGTCCGTATAACACCTATGAGGAGGCCATTGATGGATTGCTCATCCGGTAAGTAACCCCTGGACAGCCAATGAAGAGCAGGGTTTAGGGCAGGCACCAGCCTGAGATCTCGATGGCGAAGAAGTAGTCAAAGTGCCAATATGAGGCACCGGCTACCGAGATTCGAGGAGGAGCATGGGACCCAGCTGGGTGCACACAGGCCTCACCCACGCGACCGCTTGCAGCTTCTACGCTCTCTCTCACTGACCACGACCACACAACTCGAACAGCATGCCGCTCACCCTGGATGCCACGACGCTCAACGCCCTCGCCGTTCTCGGCGTCATCCTCGCCCTGCCGCATCTCTATCGCCTCCTCGACTTCCTCTGGCTCTACTTCCTCCGCCCGGACTCCGTTAAACGTTACCTCCACGGGCGCGCCCCATATGCCATCGTCACAGGTGCCACAGACGGCATTGGCAAGGCGACCGCGGCGGAGCTGCTCGCCCGCGGGTTCAACGTAGTGTTGCACGGACGGAACGAGGCGAAGATGCAGCAGGTCGTGCGCGAGCTGCGCGCGCAGGGTAAGGGCAAGGGCGAGGCGGGCGAGAGGGACATCAGGTACTTCATTGCGGACGCGGCGAAGGCGGGGCACGACTTCGCGAAGCTCGTCGAGCCGTTCGGGGCTCTGCACGTCACCATCGTCGTGCACAACGTCGGCGGGTCGGACCTGTCCGCTGCTAGGTGCGTCTCACCCAGAAGCTTGCAAAATGGATGCTGACGCCGCCAGGCTCCCAGGATCGACGGGCACAGCGAGGACTACATCCTGGGTGTCGTGAACAAGAACTCGTTCTTCTCCCTCTTCCTCACGCGCGCGCTCCTCCCGCAGCTGCGGCGCGCGGCGCAGTCCGGGCCCGTGCAGGTGTTCTTCGTCGGCTCGCTCGCAGGGGACATCGCCCCAGTGCGGCTGCCGATCTACGCCGCGTCGAAGGGGTTCCTGGAGTCGCTCGCGCGCGGGCTGGACAACGATGAGCAGTTCCTCGGGGTGGACGACCGGCCGACGGGCGTGCGCTTCGGGTACCTCTCGGTGGGCGCGGTGCACTCGGACAACCACGACGCGCCCATGCCGCCTAGTTTGACGACGCCGACGTCTGCGCGGTTTGCGCGCGCGCTCGTGGATGCGGTGGGGTGCGGGCGGCGAAGGGTCGCGCCGTATTGGGTTCACGCCGTGCTGTCTTGGCTGGTGGAGCTGGGGCCGGAGAGCGTTGCGGACGCGGCTAGCGCGCAGGAGATGCGGGGGCTGATCGCGAGGGCGGAGAAGGGCAAGTGAGATGGGGGCCGGGTGCTTCGTTATGTATTGGTATGGCTCGGACTGGGTTTGGCATGGTGTGTAAGTGAGTACGTGCCCATTGTCGAAGGACTTGTCGCTTCTCAAGAAACCGTAATTGACATGTGGTTCAGTTGATGAGATTGTGCCTCTGTTGACGGCATTCAGGATGTGTTCTGCTCCTCAAACCGTTGCCGATGCCAATGTGAACTGGCAGATCGAGACGATGCGGTTGGCGTGAACGATGAAGCTCGGAGTGACATAGAGATAAGGTACGTCGGGTGCCGGCTCAAAGAGAATATGGACATGCAGTCTGCGAGCACCAGAGTGCAAGGCGACGGGGGGAAGCAGAGGGTTTGAAGGCCGTTCGGTCTGCCGGCATTGAATATATAAGTCTGGTGCAGGGACGCGTCTATGTCGAGCTGCCCTTCACCCGGTGACGATCGGGAGTGGGATGCCGGCCGAGCTTTCCATTTAGTAAACTATGCGACATATTTACGCACGAAGGCCGCTGTGAAGAGACAGAAGACGACCCGCGGGGTGCTGTCAATCGTCGATGTTCCCCCAAGGCGCGTCGCGATCACGTGTCCGCGGCTCTAGGGCGTCGTATTCTTGTCGGGAATATTGGCTCGAGTGCGCCCGTCTTGTCGCTCGCCAAGTCCGAATGCGGTGTAGATCCTGTTCGCGGGCGAGCGGAAAGCTTAAGTTGCGTCGCAAAAACATAGCTGAATGAGCCGAGGAAAGCAAGTAGGTCCTATGTAGATGTATATGTGACAACATCCGAACAGGAACAGATTCCGGCTGTCCGTGTAACAGACGAAGTGCATGACTTGAGCGTTGGCCTTCTCATCCACCTCACGCGACACAAGCGATAGGCTGAGGTTATCCTCCACGAATACGCGGAGAGGTGCTCAAACTCGGCCGGATTATGGATCAGGCCATCTGGCAACACAGTTACCCATCAAGCTTGCAGAGGCTCAATTTCCGCCCTGGGAACCTCTGAACCATTTGAAGAGAATTCACGTGAGTCGAAAGCCATAGGATATGCTCCAACTTGAAGGACATCTTGCAAGTGGCGGGCCGAGATACCTTCTTATCCTTAGCCTTACCTGCGTGCTTCTGACTTCCCTTTGGCGGACAGGCTACTCGTCCATGCTATTCCACCACGGGTTCCGTCGTGCGTCTCCCAAAAAAGTGATCCAGCTCGTCGCGTTGAAGCCGAAGAAAAAGGACACCTCGGGTTCGAGGTGCGCCGCTGCGACTTGCGTTCGAACCTCGTTTTCGTACTCCCTGACCGGGCCCCTCACCTCACTTGCGCGCTGTTTCACAGACGGTCGAGACACACATGGTGGGCGTTGGCGAAGTGGATGCCGCCGGAGTCGAGTTCGTGATAATCAAGGTAACGTTTCTCCTCCCGTTGTCTTGTCATCGCACGCCTGACATCCCGATCCAGTGATCGTCGTGAATCACTAAAGTCGCAGTGCGTTTTCGAACGATGTCCTCCTTGCAGCGCTAGCCCTTGGGTGGACGTGCATATGGATCGCCCCACCTAGCTAAGGAAGGAAACTTATAACACTACCGTCGATTACGATCGGATCCGTCTGACTCGAGGACAGCTCCTTACTGGAATCACCATCAACTGCAACCGCTTTTCTTCACGTGCGCAATCAACCGATCACTGTAAGACTTGTCGAACAACGTTCCACATGCACACAACGTCTCCCAGGGATCATCAAAACATACACGAAAAGCACTTGACTAGATTGGGTCATGATCATAACAGGCGTCGTGAGCGTGAGCAGAGCAGGATAGTAGATACATGTCAGACAGATGCGGGAAACGTGAAGCGGGAGGTCATGGGGCGTGTCGCAAGAGGTAGGGTGCGCGAAGTAGAGTAGGCAAGTAGTATGGGGTGGTATCGCAGGTAGGATGGAGGTAGGGCGAGCAGAATTAAATCAGACACAGCACGAAGTTCAGCAACGGGAGGTATGTCCCGCCCGCCATAAAAGGTATCGCGTATAAAGAGGCGAATGGGAGAGGGCGGGCGAGTGCGGGGGTAGAAATGCGAGCGCAGACGACGCAGAGGGAGACCACGATGAGAGTAGCATGAACCGAAGGGAAGTGGATAATTTCACGTCGAAAAGTGGACGTAACGTAGTGTAAGTAGCAACCAATAACCAAGGAGCACCGACCTACGCCGGCGCCGCTCTAAGATCCAAGGCCACACCCCAGCGGCGGAAGGAAACAACTCAACAGCCCATAGCGACAACAAGACGACCAGACGACCAGATAAACGGGAAAGGAGGCAGCTGCGACCATGCAATGGGCAACGCAGAGCAGGCCAGAGAAGAGAGCGAACGGATGCCAGACCAGAGCACGCGCACTTTTACCACATCGTATCTTCACGAACAGGCCTCTCGCCCCAGGGCGCCTCCGCGCCACTGCGCCAAGGCAGCCTCGGCAAGTGCACGACCGCGCCCGTGATAGGGTCCGTCTGCGTCGTCGTCACGCTCAAGTCCGTCAAGCTATCCTCCGTCGTCGTCCTCGACGTCACCGTCCCCGACACCGTCGCACTCGGGGTCGGGACGGAGATGGGAAGCGGCACGCCAGGAGGATACGCTGGATCCGGGGTAACAACGTCGTCGGGGTGGCCATTGCTTCTGGGCGGAGGGGGTGATATCGTGCCGGGGAAGCCGCGGCTGAAGACCGCCGACAGTGGCGGGGCAACCTCTCCGACATCTCCATGCCGCCGCCCTGGGCGATGGTCGTCAAAGGAGATCGAGTTAGTGTGCGCGAGAGACTGTCCGCTGCTGCCCGTCGGCCGTCTTGAGTGCGAGTTGCTCGATCCCGAGGGTCGCGAGGAGTTCGAGCCGGTCAGGGTATGCCGGGAGGACGCTGCAGCGGAGCCGGAGGGACTATGGGACGAGTGTGGGCTCAGGTGCGACCGCATCGAATGTAACGAGCCGCGCTCTGATTGAAGCGCGTCTCGAGGCTGGACTACCATGGGCTGGATGAACGCACCTGAGTTAATACGAAGCGGTAGCACTGTCGCAGACGAGACTTGACTCACCACACCAAAAGTCAACCTCCTGCCTTCGTGTCTCCCGCCACCAGACAAGCTCGACCACCCGTTATCAGCCGAAGGCGGCGCATCGTCGAGCACGTCCACACGCGAGGTGCTATCTGTTGCTATCGTCGCGGGGCCTGCAGTGCTGCTCACGATCGAGTTCCTCCACACGCTGATATCCGGAAGACCGGGCGGGCTACTACGCGATCCAGAAGCGGCGCTAAACGGCGAAGCCGGGCGCGGAGCAGGCATGTCCAGAACATCGATGTCCGAGTACTCCACTGCCACCGACTGCGGGCGCGTCGCGGCCTCATAAGTTGGCGGGCTGTCCCCGGCGAAGTGTCCGTGGCTATCCCCAGGAGACCCAGACCCAGACCGGCGGACCTCGCGCTGTAGCGGCGACGGCTGCGCAGGATAAGCGGCAGGCATTGGGGGGACGGGAGGCACGCTCGCGGGGCCAGAGCCTTGCGTCGTGCGGGTGCCCAAAGAGCTCCCCGGCCGCGAGCGAGCGTCGAAGAACACCGTGTTGCCGCTCGCCTCACTCACCGCGCTGACGCTCGAGATAGGCCGCTCTCCGCCCATGCCGAACCCAAGCCCAGCATCCTGTTGCCTAATCCTGCGCCCAAAGCTGTCAGTAGTCGGGCTGGTCGGCTCGTGCGTCGAAATGCGGAACGACGCAGGACGCGACTGAGAACCGGGGCGAGACCGTGAGCCGTGACGGGAGTGGCGTGGGGGCGTCCGGGTATACGTATCGGACGGCTCCCCTTCCTGTTCGCTGTGGGTACCAAGCTGCGAGCCGGCGGGAGTCCCCAGGAACGACATGCGCCTGAACCAGCTCAGCCGTCCGAGGTTAGCGAGACGGTCAAGCCCAAGGACGTTCGGGGCCGCGGCGCTCGTGCTCGCGCCAACGGTCCCGGGCTGGATCTGCGCGACCTTCACCCGCCTAGCCGTGAGCATCTCGGCGCCCTCAGCCTCCTGCAGATCGAGGCTACCCAGCGACTTGTCCGACATAATGGATCGCTTCTCTGATCCAAGCGATGGGTTAGAAGCGCGGCGCGCAGCCACGCCCAGACTGTCGGGGTCAATAGGGCGTGGGGGCAGCAGCGGGGACTCGACGTCGGTCGACGGCCGACGCTCGACCATACGAATGCTAGGGTAAGGGGGCGCGTCCGCCATCTCTTCTCCCATGCGCAGCTGAACATCGCGAGGGATGATGGGCTCACCCGGCCTGGCCTTGGAGCGATAGGACGACACCGTCCCCGTTCGTGCGATCGCGGGAAGACTGACGAGAGTATCCGTGTCAGTGCGGGTGTGGCCGGCCTCAGTACCACTACGGATACTGCCTCGTGTGAGGAAGGGATCCTCCTCGTCGCCGCTTTCCCGTGGAGAACCTTCTCCAGGGGACCGAGGAGGGCTCGGCTCCAAGTCCCGGGGCTCGACGATATCCCATCCTGTCCAGATCGGCTGTTGACTACGGCGCATAGACATCAACGTTGTCGAGCGATTCCAGAAACTAGACGAAGGGTCTTGGGGGTCAACCTGACGGCGCTTGCGAGTCTGACGAAGGAGGAAGATGATGGCGATGAGGACGAGAAGAAGAAGGGTTCCCAGGATGCTGCCCAGAATCGCGCCGAGGGTGCTTGGTGAGATGCCATGGGAAGATCCTGCTGCTGGAGATGCTGTTGGTATAGTCGACGTTGACGAGGCCGTCGACGAGGTGGCGCTTAGGATAGAAGAAGAGGGTGTGCTTGATGCAGATGTCGGGGATAGTGTGGTGGAGGTGGAGGGAGCAGAAGTTATGGCGGAGCTGGGAGATGATGAGGTAGGTGTCGCAGTAGTAGTGGTGGAAGCAGAAATCGTCGATGGCGGCGGGGTCAAACCGCCCCAAGTCCACACTCCGTCGGTACCTAGCGGGATCTAACGATGCTAAGATGAACATCTGGCACTCGCGAAAGCAGAAGGGGGGACTTTGTGCAAGAAAGACAGAATGGTAGACTCACGCTTGGACCGAAGTAGGTCAATGGCAATTGCAAGGTAGTGGACGATGTCGAGACAACGCCGTCGGGGAGAGTGACGACGGTAGTAGAAAGGGTGAGCCATGAGGGGAGCACCTGGGTAGGCACAGCCATAGCCAAAGAGGGGTATGAGGTGAGAGTCGTGAACGGGGTGTGATCAAGACAGTGGTCGCAGTTTGGGTAGAGAACGTGGGGTAAGCGTGAACGCTATCGAATGGAAGGGTGAGCTTCGGGGGTGATGGTGCGGGCCGTGGGCCGGAAAAGGAACTTACAGGTCGTGAAGTAGGATTTATGTTGTTAGCGAGTTGCGTTGCGGTGAGAGATTTCGGAGAGTAAGAAGGAGGGAGACGGGGGACACGGAGGGGGCGGGGAGGGGACGGTGGCAGCGCGAACTCGAGCGGGAGAGTGAGGAGAAGCGCCGGGTTGAATGTGCATTCAACCCCACGTGGCCGCCACCATTTCGCAGACGCCGAGCGGCCTTTACCTCTTTCGTCCACTCCCGTCCTGTCAGTCTTCTGATTTCCGCAAGCACCAACATTACAATCTCCGAACGCTTCAAGAAACGTCGAAAGAGACAGGCGGTGTCACTGAAGAATGCAGGGGCATGCAATGAAGCAAGGCGCGGTTCGAATGGAGCGATCTTGCGGCGTAAACGATGAAGCTACGAGAAGGATATGAAGACATGGAGATAAGGTACGTCGGGTGCGGGCTCAAAGAGAAGACGGGGATGCAGTGTGCGATGACCAAGGCGGCGAGAGGGGAGCAGAGGTCTGAAGATCGTTTGGACTACCGGCTGTGAATATATATATACTCTATGTCGAGCTGCCCTTCACCGGTGACGATCGGGAGTGGGATGCTAGAGAAGCAAGATCGGCTGGGCTTCCCACTTACAGCGAATGTAAAAATCAGCGTCGCATGCCCCGCGCCGGGTGGTGTGCTCGGATCAGCGGCAGGCACCTGCCGAGCCCCGCCAGCCTGCTCTCCGGCCACCTTCCAGCTCGGGGACACGCTCGCGGTGACTGTTCGAGACGTGCCCCGACGAGCGATGCCGCTTTTCGAGCTACAGAATACTCGATATCTTACCTGGTATGTTCCCAACACAGATACCCGATATATTCAAGTGCTTCCAGAGGTGGAACAGAGTTGGGCAATGGCCTCGGTGCGGTAGGGTTGGGGCTCGGCCGGGGAGTTCCGGTGATCCGAGCACACCACCCGGCGCGGGGCATGCGACGCTGATTTTTACATCCGCTGTAGTTAAATGTGCGACATTGTAGTACGCAAAAAGCTGTCGCATGAGCTTGAAGGCTGCGGCTAAGTCAATCGTCGATCTTTCTCCTTTTTGACAGGACGCGTCGGCGCGTCGCGATCACGTGTTCGCGCCTGGAGTGTGCCTGTCTTGTCTCTCACCGAGTCTGTATACAGTGTATAACACCCAGCTGGCGAGCGAGCGGCTTGTTGTGTCGCGAGCATATAGCGCAATAGACGAGAGTCCGAGCAAAGCAAGTCGGTTCTACATTTGACGACATTAACCAGGAGCATCGTGCTATCGTCGGCTAGCCACCTAGCGCAGCAGAATATTGCTTTCCGGTGTAGTAGACGACGTGCATTACCTGGGCAGCGACCTTCTTATCCACCTCACCGAACACAAACGATAGGAAGAGGTCCCGGTCATCCTCCAGGAATACCGATCACATCGTCTCTCTGTCAGTTCACATTGGCGTCGGCAACAGTTTGAGGAGCAGAACACATCCTGCATGCTGTCGACAGGCACAATCCTATACACTGAGCCACATCGTATTTGGCCCAAGAAAAAGCAAATGACAAGTCCCTCCAGCACAAGATACACGCACTCACGTACACTCCACGCCAAACCCAGTCCGAGCCATAACGACGCACCCGGCCCCCATCTCACCTGTCCTTCTCCGCCCTCGCGATCAGCCCCCGCATCTCCTGCGCGCTAGCCGCGTCCGCAACGCTCTCCGGGCCCAGCTCCACCAGCCAAGACAGCACGGCGTGCATCCAATACGGCGCGACCCTTCGCCGCCCACACCCCATCGCGTCCACGAGCGCGCGCGCAAACCGCGCAGACGTCGGCGTCGTCAAACTAGGCGGCATCGGCGCGTCGTGGTTGTCCGAGTGCACCGCGCCCACCGAGAGGTACCCGAAGCGCACGCCCGTCGGCCGGTCGTCCACCCCGAGGAACTGCTCATCGTTGTCCAGCCCGCGCGCGAGCGACTCCAGGAACCCCTTCGACGCGGCGTAGATAGGCAGCCGCACTGGGGCGATGTCCCCTGCGAGCGAGCCGACGAAGAACACCTGCACGGGCCCGGACTGCGCCGCGCGCCGCAGCTGCGGAAGGAGCGCGCGCGTGAGGAAGAGGGAGAAGAATGAGTTCTTGTTCACGACACCCAGGATGTAGTCCTCGCTGCGCCCGTCGATCCTAGGAGCCCGGCGGAGTCAGCATCCACTTTGCAAGCTTCTGGGTGAGACGCACCTAGCAGCGGACAGGTCCGACCCGCCGACGTTGTGCACGACGATGGTGACGTGCAGAGCCCCGAACGGCTCGACGAGCTTCGCGAAGTCGTGCCCCGCCTTCGCCGCGTCCGCGAAAAAGTACCGGATGTCCCTCTCGCCCGCCTTGCCCTTACCCTGTGCGCGCAGCTCGCGCACGACCTGCTGCATCTTCGCCTCGTTCCGTCTGTGCAACACCGCGTTGAACCCACGACGAGCAGCTCCGCCGCGGTCGCCTTGCCCATGCCGTCCGTGGCGCCTGTAATGAAGGCGTACGGGGCGTGCCCGTGGAGGTAGCGTTTGGACGGGTCCGGGCGAAGGAAGTAGAGTCAGAGGAAGTCGAGGAGGCGATAGAGGTGCGGCAGGGCGAGGGCGGCGCCGAGGACGGCAAGGGCGTTGAGCGTGGTGGTGTCGAGAGTGGGCGGCATACCGTTCGAGTTGTGTGGTCGTGGTCATCAGTGGGACGAGCTGGAGCGTGGTAGTGGCCAAATGACTCCCTGCAAACTTATAAGAATCTACGGCACTGGAGTGTCCGAAGACCTGTCAGCGAAGCTTTGTGCTTACGACAGGCATTGACCTTAATGCCGCGTAGAGACTCGTACCAGTCGGCAGCGTTCCTTATTCTGAATCACCATCACCAAATCTCAGCAGGGGACGAGCATAAATACCGCGCTCCCAAACCACAACACGGCAGCCTGATGTTTCCGTGCATAGAAAAGTCGACGAAGCGGGAGCCCCCCCCTATTCAATCCCCGGGTTTTCGAAGGCTTTTGCTCGAAAAAGCCGCATCTATACGAACGGCTTACCTCGTGCCTCTCTTTTCACAGACTCTTCCCCGGCCGGAAATCCCGGAATGCCTGCCGTGTAGAGTCCAACGAGTCCGCCAGACTCGTTGGACTCCGGGGATCACACTAACTAGCCAAGTAGCAAGGCACTCTTTCCAGCGCGGCGACGCATCTTCGGCATCCTTGTCAGTTGCCGGAGATTTCGACCTCGACGATAGGCACTATCTCAGGTTCCGTGCTACGTTAGGGCTGATGCACTTACAGAGCCCACGTAAGGTTCGCGACTATCGGCGGGACGTGAACGAGTGCACCGTGCATGAGAATTGGCGGGATGTGGACCACTCCGGGCCCAGCACCGGTATCGTGACCATCGCGACACCTCCTAGCTGCTACTATTCATAGAGAGATATTGTTTAGGGCTTGAATTATCTGCCCCACGATGCCTCATGTTCATAGTAGATATCACTCACCCAGTCGTCTGCGGGCTATAGGGTGTAGGCGAAGGCACCTCTCCCATTCCTTACCCAGGCTAGCACACATACCTGGTGTCACCGATCCCGAAAGCTGTCGAGTACCGTACCGCATCACGGCATCGTCGAAGTCCGCGTACACATCCCACACTGTCTCCTCGTCCCCGCCTCCAAAGCCAGCGAGTCGCTGGTAGGTGCATAACGATAGGCTTCTCTCGAACAAACACGCCCTGGTCGCTCGGTGAGCGGAATCCACCGTTCCACAGCGCACTGCAAGCCTAGTGGTTCATGACGTCCACTGGATCGAGATTTCAGGAGATGTGATATGCGGTGACAAGAGAGCCAGAGGAGACACGTTACCTTGATCATTACGAACTCTGGAACGCCCTTAGCGGCATCGCCGCTGGCCTTGAGTCCGGCGGCATCCACTTTGCCAACGCCCACTATGTGTGTCTCAACCGTCTGTGAAACAACGCGCGAGCGAGATGAGGGGTCCCGGTCGGGAAGGACGAAGATTGGTTTCGAATGCAAGCCGCAGCGGCGTACCTCAAATCCAAAGTGCTCGTAGATGTCCTTGTTCTTAGGCTTCGACGCGACGAGGTGGATCACCTTGGGAGACGCACGACGGAACCCGTGGCGGAACAGCATGGAGGAGTAGCCTGTACGCCCAGAGGACCGTCAGAACGATGAGAACAAGGACACACGCACGCAGGGTGAGCGGGGTGCTCGGGGCACGTACCTGCGCCTTGGTGTTCCGGATCGACGGCGATCGCCCAGACGTGCCATGTGTCGAGGCGGTCGACCTTGCGGCTCTTGAACTCCCGTTTGAGCGTCTTCTCGACCGCCGGGGTAAACTCGATCAGTCTCTGTGGGGTGCGGACGCGTGAGATGTGAGATGCGAGATGTGGGGGGCGGGTCGGTCGTCTGGAGTCGGGGAGGAATGCGCACTTTCGAGCCCGTGAAACCCCACACGAACGGGACCTTGTGGAACTCAGCGCGGAGTAGCGTGGCGAGGGAGAAGTCCAGCGAAGTGCCGGGCGGGAGCCACAGCGCGACCGCTACGATCTGCTCCTCCGCCGGCGCCGCTGACCCTTGCGCATGGTCGGCGGAGCCGTTCGTACTAGAGGACGGCGCGACGACGACGTCGATATTCCCGCCGATGTGCAGAGGGATTCGGGCCATTGCGTTCCAGAACACCCGCAGGTCACGGATGGCCTCTGCGTGTGAGGGCGTCGGGTTTGCAGGGTCTTGCACCAGAGCCGAAACGTGGCCGTAGTAGCACATTGTCGGGTCGTTGATGAAGGCCCGCGTTAGGAGGTCTATCACTTGAGGCAGTTCTGCGGGCTTCATGGCCCGCACGTAGGCGTCGGGGTTTCTAGGCATGGTAGGCAAGGTGAGCGCGAGTGCGAATGCGGCGTGAGTGATGGAGAAGGTGAAGAAAGACATACGGGTAGGGCCATTATATATTCCGGTGGATGGAACGCCACGGTGCAGCTCTCGACATTCGCGCAGTACTTGCATGATATGTGTTTGAGAACAGACCGTGCTGCGCGGGCGGCGGGGTACGGCTATGTCCGTGTGTAGTACATGCGATGATGCCTGATCCGGCCAAATTGACGGCCATTTTCTTGGACGGCCTGGTGCCAAACTACGGACAAAACTGGGCCAGTCAGGCAGATCGGCACGGCTGCGCCACGGTTATGCATAAGAGGCGCCGGAATCTCGCGCAAGACCAGGGCGGCATCTACATATCTCGCCGGTCCTGCATTCATGTGATCGGCTGTCCTGTCCTTGATGGATCTCATAGCGGTTTGTCCTCCGCCCTTTATGACCTTGTTTTTTTTGCTCGAGCTGCATCTTCCGCTAACGCTCTCCATTTCCGGCCTGTGACTCAAGTGCCACCGTCTCGAGCTGCTATCTGCCATGTCCGCCCCGACGGCTCGCGAGTCGCCATTGAGGGCGTCGACGCGAAGGTCTGCGTCTGGAGCACGTCTCAATCACGCGTCCGACCTCAGTGCCAGACATCGAGGTCCACATTCGACTTTGCGATCGATAGAAGTGGTATGTGTCTAGAAGGACGTACGAAAGTCTATGCTGGGCGCGAAGACGAAAGGTCGAAAATAGATGCTGAGAAGGCCGGAGTAGTAGTAGTAGTAGTAGAGGGGAGCATCTACGGAGCTGTGGCACACAGAGGGACGGCGACAGATGCGTCCAAATGGTACTGACGGCCGCGCCAGCCGGTCTATTTCCGGTCGGTACAGGTACTGTTGCCTTGATCCCTATCGACTACGCGTCCCTGTCACTTCATGGCTGGCTAGCTACGTCAATGGGCGGGAGGGGCACAACACGCCTTGACCTTCCCCACGAATGCATTCAAGACTTCACAAAGCGCGCCTCTTCCAGTGCGTTGGTAGACATTGCCCCTCAACCGTTCCGAACAGAGCATCCCGATGAAGTGGGCCCACGAAACAGGTGCTTCGTTTTCCTCTGGTGGTACTTCCTCCTGGCGTATCCGGAAACGAAGAGCATCGAAGTCGTTAAGCCAGACCAGCGCGACTTCCCACAGCGCCTTCTTCGAGGGGAGGCCCAGCACGGAGAGAGCAGATTTAGGCGAAGTAGTCTCGAAAGAAGATCTCTAACGGTGTTGTCAGCGGGAGGTCCAGAGGTTTTTGTTTTGCCATCGTTTACGATTCGAACCTTATCTCTGCACGTCTATAATTGCCAGTCGTCCACGCGCGGAATTGTCTGAGCTTCTCGTGTGAGATCTCCTTGCCTTTCTCAATGCAGTTGCAGTACCAGATCAGGATCGAGTAGAAAGCCTCTAGGTCATGGCGATAGAGGTGCTCAATGGGCAGCTTCCAGTGGATAGAATCTAGAAGTTCTTGGGCCATGAAGGGCAGTGTCCCCATGCGTTCCGAGCCATCGTGCCGTGATTCCTCGTTGGTGGCGAGATCCCAGTCGTTAAGAACACCGTGAATCTTGCCTATGTCGTCCTTTCTGTACATGAGATTGTCCAGACTAGGATCTCGATGACGGATTTCGCCATCGACCCACGCGTGGTAGTGGACTGCGAATGGTAAACAGCAGCTGCGGACAGGGGAGATAAGGGTAGGCACAGTGCAGGATTTGGAGGAACGTGTCCAAAAACTCCGCTTCTTCGAGCTCTGCGATGGGATAGCGCTTCTCAGAGAGCTGGCCGCGGAGGACGCGGGATGCATCCACAGGTTCCTGTGACACGATACCGAGTGCTTTACGGATGCTGTCCGTGTTCAGCCCGTCATACGTCTTCGAGCCGATAATACGGGGCATCGATTCCGTGAAGCGGTGGCAGCGCTCCTCCAAGACTTTCACCAGCTGATCCTCCGCCACGCGAGTCTGGTCAATCCAAGAAAGCTTGAGGACGTATTCACGCCCCTGCTGGACCTGATCTCCCCTGACCTCGGCTTTGACGACTGAGGTAGCTCTACCCGTGAGACAGTAACGGTCATCCCGGTGGAAGACGCACTGAGCCTGCACATTGTTAGGGAAGTCGATTATGCTCGGCACCTTGCGCGTATACGACGTCCGCTCATGCATCCCGCGACCTACGGCATCGATGTCGAGGATGCCCCAGTCGCTGAGTTGCAAGCGCTGAATGGCCATCAGGAGCACGACGAAACGAGGAAGGTCCCGAAGCAGGTTGATCCCGTCGCACTGGATCGCGCCATGGCGATCGTACCACCAGATATATATCGCCTCGTCTAGAGAAGCCGGTGGCTGGTGAGTGCAGGTAGGAGTAACGCGAACACACGCACCGCATACAGCGAGACCGATGGCATGCGCTCCGCCCGGTACGGCGCTGAGCGTATCCACGGCGTAAATGGCGCATTGAACCAGTGGCGGAAGCTTCTTACGTTCGCTATCCAAGTGAGGCTCTTTGTCAAGAGCGTCATTAACGTGTTTATCTCTGCGGTCCTTGGCTATGCGTAGGTTACCTTCTGCTCTGGCATGGTTTTCTTGAGTCTTCTGCTGAGTCTTCTGCCGCGTCCGTCTTTCTGGAAGTTGCGCTCTGCTGTCAGTCGTGAGATGAAGTGCCATGTTTGATCACTGACCTAGAGGCTGTGCATCAGGCTCGCGTCTTCTCTTTTCACCAGATTGGACGTGCTCAGAGGCAGATGATTGTCGTGCTAATGTCCACGCAAGTCAACATTGAGACTGATACGTGAAGTTGTGGGAAAAGCACATACGAGCCCGATGAGAGACAGCCATCATGTTTTCAATGAACGGTTCATGAACATTTCGGTCGTTGTTCTCCGGTAACAAAGATTCAGGAAGAGTGACTACGCGACTACTAGCCTTGATCTCCGCGAATAGGAGCACATGCTGCCAAGAGAAGCGGTTCACGTATGAGCTGTTCAGTAGTAGTGGTGCATGTTCCATCAGGTTCTTCCATGTGAGATGTGGAGAGTTAAAACGGTGGCGTGCGGCAACGGCAGAGACAAGGGCAATGTCGGGGTGCAAGTCGGTCGATAGCTCGGGTGTAGCGAAGTGACCATGAGTATAGATCGGATCGGATCGACAAAATAGGGGGTCGAGGCCACCCTCGAGAGGACGTAACGTAAACGGGCCAACCTGTTTGAGTGCGTGCAACTTGTCCATAATGCGATTGGCGGCGTTGATGAATGGCTCATATCGCTTTTTCTCAATAGTAGCCTCCATGCTGTGGATAGGATGAGTACGAAAATTGAGGACTCCACATTAACATACTATTCCGTGAGATAGCGTTTGAGTTCGCTATCGTCGCAAATCTTCTCACGAGCGTAGGTAGTCTAAAGACTTCTCGAGGAACTCGACCCCTTCAACATCGTCTGGTTGGGTGACAGCCTTGCACAGCAGGTACTTCAACATCTCGTCCGCGTCTACGAGTTTGAATCTGAATGCGAAAGAGGCTAATATATGATACTCACACTAGTGGCAAGATAAACCCAGTAGCGGACGAATGATCCCAGCCTTCTTCGGGGAACTCCATGACTAGGTGACTGTTCGAGACGTTGGCTGCAAGTAGAGGCAGGCCGCCATAGCATGGCTGACGTCGGTGTAGGTCGTAGGTGACTCGGACCACGCAAGCTTGAAAGCGCTCAGCAGGACAATCGCTCGCTGTAAGCTAGACTAAGCGCTCAAGCCCACCCTCCACCTTGCTGCTCTCTTCATCAGGCTCGTGTCGAAGCAGCCATGTCATTCAGCATGAACGCGAGTACGCCATATCGTCTTTTCCACGTCTGGGGGCAGCCAACCAAGAAAGAATGCAAGTATCGGGATGCCTTGAAGGCACAAAGGTTTGCTGTGTCTGGGATCGTGCCCTGTCTCTCTAAGAATATTCGCCACTTATGCCAGGTAGCTCGGAACGCTGGGTACGAGTTCGCGTGGGACGAAATCTGTTGCATCGATAGAACCAACCCAGACGAAGTCTCACATGCTGTCATGCTGACGTACGCCTAGTATGCCGAAGCTGAAGAACGCTACGTGTATCTGCACGACGTTTCCGGTTCCTCGCAGCGCTCCGATGGTAGTGAAGTGACGTATGGCCCCATATATACGATGTCTGAAACTAGGACAGATAAAAGCAAATTCACCGTACGTTCGAACCACCTAGTCCAGTACTTCGCCTCATTCTTCCAAGGTCCGAGGGCCCCTCTCCCCTATCATCATCGTCGAATACTGGTCGCCTCCTTGGTGCAGCGCTTGACCCTCCAAACCAGGAAGAAGATGCAGGCGCAGGCCTAATTGGCCGCAATACCCGTTCTGCCTCCCAGTCGTACATGCCAGGGGGGCGCAGGTATTCCCGTTCTTGTCGTTGGTTCCTGTTCATGAGCATCGCACCGAGTCCACCGAGGGCGGCCCCAGTCCAAAATCCTGGTCTCCATCCGCTCGCGTCTACATTTGAGGATGGATGCTTTGTGTACGGAGGTGGAGGATCGTAATTGTCGGGACGGGGAGTCCCACCCGAGAACCACCCGGAGCTAGGGGTGCGCGGGGGCGGGCGTGGAGTGGGGCGTGGGTTCGTTCCTGAGCGAGAGCCGAAACATGATTTGAAGAAGTGATATAGGATTAGGCCGAGAGCGAAGATCCAGAGGACAATGAATAGGGAGGCGACTGGGTCTTCCATTAGAGCTATGAAACTCGTTCAGTTCACAGGAGTATGAGCACGATCGTAGCAAGACGTACTAGAGAACCAGCTGGATAGTCGGGAGGGATATTTCGGGTCATCTCCGCCGCGCAGGCCGCTCGGGACTTGCACGAGCCGGTATTCCAAGCCACATGAGCCTTTTTCAAGTATTGGAGGAAGTTCGCGAATTTCTAAGTGCATGATATATAACGCACCTTTGAGAACATATGGATCACCTGGGCCATCCCAGCCTTCGCACGACACCTCCACCCTTCCAAACCTCAATGAGTCTGGTAGGTCCGCCTCACACTTCCAGTCGACATCCGTCCCTGACCCTCCGAGGCTGGTACACCTCACAACTTCTGGTTGGTAGAGTTTACAAGGTTTGCCGACACATTTGAGTTGAGGAATCAGCTGTCCGCGGCGAGATAGCGTTTGTTCACCCTGGTAGAACGTCAGGGAGCGAATTTGTGATAGAGCGACTCGAGACATTCAGTGGGGAGACTTCAACGTCAAGCTAAGACCTTTGCAGAAATGAGGGTGTATGAGGGACATGTCGAGGAGTGGAACCTGGAAGAAAGTGCTGGGGCAGAGTACGTAGCTGGAACGTGGCGAAACGTGTGTAAACCTTATCTTGCCATCAGATCTCAGATTGACTAGGGGCAGCGATATTTGATTGGAGCATCTGGCTGGGTGTTTACGAAGCTATCGTGTCTTCCAACGCATGGGATTTACATACAGGACGTCATACGAGTCCAGTCGCACTCATGAGACAGGAGGAATTATTGAATAGTAAGTAGCTGTCCATCATATACCATCGAAACGTTCATTTCTCTCCTTCCATCTCGGTCGTCACCTCAATGTCGATCTTGGCAGGTGTTGCGTCCGGTAGCTGAAGTTGTGAATCAGTAGTGGTACTTGCGGTGATGATCTCGGGATTTCTACCTTGGGCGTATTCCACAAGTCCTTGCTCGCTTCCCGTTTTGCCCGAGCGATTGAGATGGCCATAGACGCTCCTGCAAAGAGCTCCATGCCTCGCAATTGACGAGAGTTCAGGCTACATGGCGGGTGAGGATTATTGGGATAAAAGAAGTCGGAACGTGAACGTGCTTACACAGAAAGCAGTGTTGTGCCATATACTGCACGGCACGGTCATTTCCCGTGTGCAACATTCGAGAAAGGAAGGACGTACGTCTGGAAGCTACGATGGTGAGGGCCGCCAGTAAGAGATAGGTAGGCCGGGCCACAGCCTAACAAGATCATCAAGATCAGGATGTATTCTGGCAAGATCGCGAGGAAGACTTACGCAGATGAACGCAATCCAATCGATCACGCTGACCACACTGGTGAGCACTAGCCCATTTGTCAGGATGTAAGCTCTTACTCGGTAAGTGCGCCTGTCAGCGGCCTGGCTTGAGCTGATATTCGGAGTTGACCAGGCATCACGAGTGACACATACCTGTATTGATAAGGTATAGCTGCACTAGGTCGAATATCGATTCCGAGTCGCCAGTCTTCCTCCTGATAAATCTTCTTATGTAAAACTACAGAATTCAGAAGGAGCTCGGCTTACCGGTCATATCCAACGCGTGACTTTCGTATAGCAAGGACCAGAGCCACAGTGAGTACTGTGTCAGCAACACAAACCATTCCTAGCCCAGCGGCACTGAGGTACTACAAATGCCGTCCATCATTCTGTGAGTAAGCCATGAAACAAAATGTAGTCGAACGCACAGTCGCAGTCTTGAGAACCCTTACATCCACGAATATGAAGCTAGCTCAAAATGAGTACTGCTCTATGGGAGAAAGCACAGCGACATTACGCTTTGATAGACGCCGCTGGATATCATGTGAGCGGGGAACGACGAAGGGGGAACGTTTGTCGTACCTAGCCCAAAACCTGAAGCGAATGGACGGCCGACTCAGTCTACATGAGCTTCCTACGCCGAGGTGACGTACCGAGTTCTCCGAGGAGGAGCAAGGACTGCGCCTACGGTTAGTCGGTAGTACTAAGTGACATGAAGATGACTACGCACCACCACCCAGGCAAGGAAGGACTGCATCGGTCCGACTAGTTCGTGTCAGAGAGTTGAATTTCGAGTTACAACCGAGGAAACGCACTTAACGAAACTCGTCGAATAGAGAAGCTGGGAGAAAGAAATATTATCTGCCAGGTCCATGGTAACGGCGAGTCGAGATTATACGTACATTTGCGACACGATGATGGTGATACTCTTCGTAACGCATGCTATAGTACTCAGAGTTGTTTGTGAGAGCGGAGGGAAAGGCTTACCGATAGAAAAGGTAGAATCTAGCGCATATGGGACATATCAGTACAGGCTAGCAGGCATGAGTTGGGTGATCTTTACATCGAGCGACCTGGCCATTCGTCAGTGATTTGGGGAGGTACGCCAAAGATAGATTCACCTACCATCCTCCGACAAGCAAACTCAAAGGGTTGAAATACGCGGATACCAAGTGTGAGAAGCTATTGAATGATGAGCACATAGTGACGTAGGCTACAATTCATTTCGACTGACCATATATGTGCTGTGACTGCGACATGTGTTGTCTCCAGCAGTCTGCAATGTCTATCAGTTGCCTGTCTACTGTCAACTTCACCTGTAGACATTTACAGAACTAGTATGACCTGTGTGCAGCATATGAGCGCTCACGCTCGGAGCACCAAGAACATAGATACGCACCATTAAACGAATATACAAAGGATCTGTGGTGTATATGCGAAAGTACCGATATGATTGGTGCAAAATCAAGCCATAGAGGCTATCTCCAGCATATCTGGTTAGCACTCAGACACTTGTGCGTGGCGCATGGAACTCACATGAAGCCAAACATACTACCAATGAGAATGGCGCCATACGTTACGCTGAGTGGGGGAATCTGAGAGAAAAAGGCTGCTATTGCACCTCGGGGCACTCCACTTGAAGGTGAAGCCATGTTGGAGTAGGGGAGATGGAAGGAAAGCCGTCTCACGCGGGGCGGCTTGATTGATATATGTTATGCGCGTTTACCGATTTGAATCCTTGGACCAGAGCCTGCGAGCCGTATCACGATGGGTTGATGAGCCATCCAATGCAACGACACTGTGGATACCTGTGGACGCTACTAGTCAGCGCTCAATGAGTGAGCAGGCGTGCACTCACCCGCGTGATATGGCGGTACTATCTCGTTCCCTTCAAGTGAAATACTGATTCTGTTGGTGGAGGCGCGTAGATGGTAGTCCTTCCTCTGTGACCCCACCGTCTGTGGGACGTGCGCAATGCAGCGGCGTCAAGTCTCGCGACCCTTGAGCGCATGAGCGCCGAAGCAATGTCAGGTCTATACTTTAACGAACAGTGACGACTGAGCGTTTCTGGAGGAGATTGTAGTGTGGGATTGGTAGGTCAGCCGAGCGCGCGGCCACCGCCACGAACGATGGGATCGTGAGGAATGGAGGCAATTCATCGCCGTACCTGTGCAGTCCTGGCTTCGAGCATGCCACCCGAATGCCCACGATACCCCTACTATGTGGACGCTTTTTCCCGCATCTGGGAGCGAGTATCCAGCTGTATGGGAAGGAAGGCAGGTATCTGTGTATTTGGGCGGCTGAAAGAAGATATCTTGAGGGTTCGTGAATTCCTTTGCACGCGTTCTTTGGTACTCGTGAGTGCGTTGAGCTGCATATAGGTGTCATGAGCCTGATCTATGTGAGAAGCCTTTCGGCGCTGCCTTTCATATAACGAATCTGGCCTGATGTCGTCTACATACATAAGAGCAATACTCGAGGGATCCTTATTGAGGGTTTCCCAAGCGCGCTCTGATCTCCTGGAGGCTCTATAGCCCATCGTCCCCTTTTGCAGTTCTACGAAGATAGCGCGGCCATTCTGATATCATACTTCACAGCAGGGCTGCTGGTTTCTGAGGAGACTGTGATGTACCTTGTTAGCCGCAACAGACAGACCGCCTGTGTCCACAGATAGCACTCACCTGCTCGTTCTCTGCCCTGCGATCATTACTATGTGCCGTGCTCTGTAGCTCAAGGCTGATGTTCGTCCTCTGCAAGCGTTGTGAACTAGATGCCTGTATTGAAACAACAGGAACCTACCATCTGGCCGGCACTTTGCCTCGCCCATACGATGGTACTTCGCTGTGTAACTCTTGCGGTATCGAAGTCTAAAATCTGGACGCTCACGTTTCCGCTCGAGCGACGAGAATTTACACTGTACATGCTTCAGGCGTCGATAAGGATTCGATAAGATGGTTGCGTAGAACTAACGCTGCAAGAACCGAATTCGCCTCAACTGAGGTGGCGCTTGGTGAACGCACATCCATAAAGAATACAACAGATGCACTTACAGCCCGCCAATAGCTGAACAAGTGGCATGTAAAACAGGTTCGGCGCCGTTGCAAGCTGCAGTTTGTGTTTATAAGATGTGCAACAACTTAGAGAAGCGTCTATACCATTATGATTGAAACCAGGCCAAGGATACTGTAGTGCCGTTAATGAGCTCAAAGTTTCAGTGTTAGCTGGAGATCGCACCTGCTGATGGCACCTGCGAGCAGGGTTATCAATCTCCGGCAGCGTGCGAGACTCGATCACTCACCTGTGTGAACCGAGCATGTGATCAGACGGTCAACGATTGAGTCTGTGCTGTTGGGAGTCAACCGGATGCGGGTGCGCTTTGTATGCATTTAGTACTTACTTACTGAGCCCAGTACGCGCGTTGCGGAGATATGCCACAAGTTTCGCGTTCACAAACAGATTAAGAGTGATCAAAACGATCAATTGAGTTATGGACAAGATCTGCTCAATCGAGAGAATTGAGACATAAGGGACGAAAGGGAAGGATTAAGTGCGGACCACCGTAGGATCAAATCCTAATTGTCTCGTCATGAACCTGGCAATTGAAGTTATAGCATGTAGTCTTGCGAGGACCGAGTACGTGGATCACGTACGTGTAGAGGGCGGCCGCTGAGAAGAGGTCAGTATGCAAGTTTAGTATCGGACTGCTGGGCGTCGCAGCTTACCCAAAGAGAGACCTTTGTTCGAGCTTGACATGAGGCTGTCTTCGAACTTCAACCTAGGGGAACTTACCTGAGGCCACAAAGAGCAGGCTTCCCTGCGATACGTAAGCTACGCACTCTATACCAAGAAATGGAGACATACCGCGACGAGCAGGAAGGGAAGAGAGCGTCCCAAGACTGATGTGTCGATCTCATTGGTCAGTCCAGCCTAGTAGGACAACGGAGATTCTCGTACTCATGTACACTCGCCGCGCGAAGAAGCTGCTCGCGACATCGTCAGCGCAGAATCGGCGTACTCTATAGGACAAGACGAACGAGTGGGATGTCACGCTCACGGCGGTCTGGTAGTCCAGGCTGTATTAGTCTATACTCGATTGGATCGCATCTTTTGGGGAAGGACGAACCAGAGCCAAGGGGAGGAGCTTACGAACTATATCAATGATGAGTCCACCAAAGGCATTGCTGATGTCTTACCCAGAATGCTCTAGGACACGAATCAGAAAGCGTTGCGGGACAAGACTGCCCACTTACCGTTGGTCAAGTATCGCGTTGATAGAATTGAGGTGCCCCTCAGTGCTTGACAATATGCCGGTGTAGCTAGGAAAGCAGATCAGTGGTGTGAACACTTAGATGCCATGGTTACTAACCAGATCTGCATCACGAGAATAACGTGCAGAGTGGTGAAGAGACTGCAGAGCGCGTCATGCCTAACCCTCGACTAAGATAGACCAACAGAATACACCCACAAAAGCGTAGCTATCTAGAGAGAAACGCGTCCTGTGGCATGAGGCTATTGATAGACTGGTCAGTTTCAGCACTCACAACAGCTTTCAAGCTCCTAGCATCCTTCGGATAGCTACTAAAGTAGCGATAGGTCTGGTCAGCCGATAGGCCATACGATCTTGTGATGTAAGGTGAGATACACGCTTTCCAATGAGGCTACCTAGGGATAAAATTGACTCACATCAAAGAGATGAAAGTGGAGATAACTACCACCCTCAGTGAGATAGATGGATCAAGTCCCATCCGGATCCGCGCTGAGAAGTACGCTGAGCTAGCTATCGCGTTCCGGTGGGTGCTGTCCGCCGAGAAGTCTACGCAGGGAGTCCAGCTACACGTCTATGTCCTATGAGATTTTTCTGGGTATTTGAGACGGGAGAGAAAGAGGGATCCGCAGTGATACCAGCTGTTGCGGGATCACTAGAAGCGTACCGTACCGGGGACTGTGGGAAGTCAGAAGCACAAGGCAATACACCCTCCCGAGACACGATGTCGGTAGCTGTCAACAAGTGACATGCTATCCTGGCCGCAGTAACGTGGGTGTATCGGCATCCTTCGCCTGGTCCCATGGCGTACGTACCCTGGCGCTGCGTCCCATTTATGGCGAAAGCGGGGAATGATGCGCACGGACCGAATCAGACGAGATGCGGGAAGGTCTCAACACATCTCCGAAGACTACAGAGAAGAGTTGACTGTTGTGAGCAACGATGCAATACGGCCAGGTAATGCTGGCCATTATCTGACACAACGCTTCGCCGTTTCAACCTACTTTATCGTGTGCAACAGCATTTGAGACGGAGCTGTAAAATAGCCTCCGTGCCTGAGGGCCAATTTCAACCCCGCTCAATTCCGACTACCGTCCGCCCTGACTGCGGCCCCGGCAGCGGTCCGTGAGCGACGACGGCGACGGGTTTCACGATAACATTCTCTCCCTCCCTTCCGCCAGTGTTGGTAACGTTGGCATCATGGCCAACTCCTCGGGGCCGCTTGCGGAGCGGAGCGAAATACACAAGTCATGCAAGACCTTGGAGTCCGTCGTGAACATCCTTAACGACTACTGCGAGGCCGCCAATGCGATTGTTGCTCTCCAGAAGAAGCTGGCAAAGGCGCTGCGGGAGTCGGCGGCGGTGAAATGTGTAGCAGAGATACCAGGTGCGTGCCGCATGCGCTTGCAAATGATCTGCTTCATGGACACCTTGGGCAAATTGATAGGCAACGCCTTGATTACGAGCGCTACCATCTTCGAGTCTATGGCGGAGGTCGACTCCAAGTTCGCCAAGTTTGCGGACAAAGAGTGCGACAGCGTCAGCGCGGAAGTGAAGAAATGGTTCAAAAAGCTTGCGGTAAGCACCAAGCAACGATCCATTATTGACATTCTGACAGTGCACAGAAAGAGGAACGGACGCATGACGAGAAGATTGCCTCCGCGAACCAGAAGATCAAGCAGGCTGGCCAAATCTATGAGAGGAAAGCCAAGAAGTACCCTCGCGATGCCGCAGAAGAGCACACACGGTATATGAACCTGCTCAGCACGCTAGGCCCTGAGGTCAATAGGGAGAAATAGTGCGTGCTATTCCACATGGTATTTGCCTGTATATTCATTGTCGTCTTTGCTGTCAGCAACCACGCTTTACTTGTCACCCAGAAGCATACATCCACGATGTACAATTTGGCATCCAGCTTATCTCGCGTTGCAGATGCTGAGTGGATGCGCAGCTGCGAGAGTGTGCGGCGTTACTCCCCTACAATCGGTCAGCTCGGACAATGGAAGGCTCTGTGCGAAGGTGGATGGAGCGGCTCGGTACCTCCTGACTTACCAGATGGGAACGCCGCTGAGCCCTCCGCATCTTCATCCCAACCCACAGGGAGCAAGGAACAAGACTCCGATGACTTGAACGGTATCCGTGACTTGTCTACGCCCCTCTTGGAAAAGCCCGCTCCCGAGTATACCTCACGCAACGCCTCAGAGCGGGAATCTACGTCGCGCGCTGCCACCCCTTCAGGTCAGTCGCCCGCACCACCGCCGCAGTATTTCCCTCCGACCCCTGCTGCGGAACCTACCGCAGACGCCAGACCAAATTCAGATACCACGAGCAAGGAAGCGGAGGATCGCCCCGCCCCTCAGTCTGGAGTCGAGCAATTAGTCAATGCTGATGAGCGATCAGCTACCATCGACGCCTTCCCCGCTCCGCCCACTCACTTCCCCATGCCCCCCGCCAATGGTAGCAAATTCAACTCGAATGCAAATGCCGTCACAACGCCCTCCCCTACTTCTCCACCCACGCAGGAGATTCAGAACCGTAGCGAAGCAACAAGGCTTGATCTACCCGAATCGTCCTCCCTCACGCCGTTCCCACGCTTCACGGAGTCTCCCACTCCGGAAAGTACGTCTGCGTTGACAGACGACTTCCGTTCTCCAGCTCCCACTCGTGCAGAGCCTCTCACGCCTCCCGTGTTCTCCAACTCGGTTTCGTCCTCCGAGAGTAATTCTGAGCGCGACCGCGAACAAGGGCCACCGCCCTTCTCATACTCTCAGACTAGCCGTCCATCTCAATCCTATGCGTCTTCACAAGTCAGTCGTCCTACTGTAGACACGGAGAAGGGTGCCTTACGGTCGACGGCCGAGCAGGTAGCCACCCCTTCACCGAGTGTGCCTACCTCCTACAGAAGAGGCGACTACATGGAGGATGCAGAATTCGGTGTCCGGCAAAGTTTAGAGTCGCCTAGGTTGCGTGCTGCCGAGCCGACACCTGGGAGGGTGTTAGAGCCGAACGACACTGGAAGGAGCAATGGCAGCGTGGTCGCTGCTTTGCGCGATCGCTACGCCCGAGGTGTGAGTACTGATATCCCCCAACACTGCCTACGCGCTCATCCTTACATTCATGCAGCCGGGCCCCACATCACCTCCTCCAGGACCAAAGTCTCCTCCACGAGAGCTTCCAAGGCTTCCTATGAACGTGTCGGCACTTGCTAATCGGTACGAACCGGCCAACGGACAGTCGAACCTCCAGCGGCAGGCCACAGGCTCTCCAACTCGCGAGAGAGTACGGACATCGGCTGACACCTACAGTCGCATGCCCGAACCGAGTTCGACGACGCTTTCGACTCCTTCCGTGTCGCGCTATTCCGACGCGCCCCCGGCACCTACCACAGACGAGATCGCTCTTCGGAGACAGCGTATCGAGGAGCTCGAAGAACTCGAGCTGCGCGAACGCGAACATGACCTGCGTATGAAGGAGCGAGAGATCGAACAGCGCGCGCGCGAACTCGAGAGAGAGCGCCTGCACCTCCTGAATGCGCGTGGCGTGCGGAACGATGGGTACATCAGCGACGGATCGCGAGCCACCAGTGGTCCCCGCATCTCCACGACGCAGCGACCGACGTCGATCGAGACGTCGCCGGGATCACGGTATCCGTCGTCGTACTCACAGAGCACGACTCATCTCGTTCCTCCGGTGTCGCAGCAGACTTCTTCGAGTCGGACAGGCTCAAGTCAGCCCTCGTCTCCTGCGTCGCAACCAGCCGACCATGCGCCGTACTGCGGCTGCGAGTCGTGTTCTGCGTCGAAGTACAAGAGCCGGGATGTTCCTTCTCCGCGCGATCTCCGTCCACCGGAGCCGCCCATACAGCTGCGCCCTGATAAACCAAAGGGGGGCTGGATACGCCGCCTGAGCATGCCTGTCATCCCGAATGCGTTTTCACTGGACTCGAAGAAGGGTGGCGTCGGGATCGCTGGCGGACCGGCGGCTGGGTACCGCGGCAGTATGGCGTTCGCCGACGAGGACGGACGTCTACGCACGGACTTGACCGGTGGGATTAGGAATCGGAGCTCGACGAACCTCGCGCGACGGTGACGGATGCCCTTGTACGAGCCTCCTTCTACGACTGCTTATGTCTGCTCGGAACTGTTCTGCTCGGCAGTTGATACTTGTATGCGTATGCGTTATGCGCTTCTATTCGATACCATCTCACGTTTCTTGGCTTACCGCTCCGCATTATTACTGTTCATCTATCCTTTCTTATGTAGTCTGCTGTCACATTGCTCTTCGTTGATACGGCGGTATCCAGCTTGCGTCTCAACTCACTACTAGTACTCACGACGACTTCTTTGACGATCTATGACGACTTAATCTACACGACCTTGTTGTATTCGTATTTTAGGAGATCTCTGGATCCTCAGCTTCTATATCAGTGTGTTCGCTAACGTATCTACCGTTGACGTTCGACAGTGGCCGAGGCGCTCCCAGACGGTGTCGCTGCATGAGAAAGTAAGCTGCTCGTTGTTTCGGCGCGATGGGAATGTCGACCCAAGAACACATTCGAAGGTTACTAAAGTACTGTTCTTGTTGCGATCCCGAAGTCGTAAGGGACCTGCGTCACGGAAGTGAGCGGGCACATCGGTCTTCTAGTGACATGCCGCTTCTTTGCTGTCCGAGAATGAGCGGGATGCGAACATCTGATGCTGCGTCATAATCTGCGCTGTCGTTTCGGCGTACGCGGCCTTCGGTAGTTCCCGTTCTCTTCTCGCGCTGACACTGCGCCACATCGTGCAAGACTGGTACCTTGTACTGAGCTCAACAGCCAGAAGTCTATCCATCTTGCCCGACGACTCAAGCGGACGGACGGAGATGGGCATTGCATGAACGAAGGGTGCTCACATGCGGTTTCTGCTGTACCTCCGCCGATGATAGGTGGCACCAAGAGGCTTCTCTCCGGCAACTCGGACTCTGGACCTGTCATACAACGCGTTTGCAAGGGGAAGACCGTTCTCGTCACAAGCAGTTTTAGCCTTCATCTCGGCAGGTGCGTCGGTCTTGTCGCATGGCAACCGAGGATCCAGGAGCGCCGCCTCCTCAATTGCCGCATTGTATGTATCCTTAAATGAACTTGATCGCGGTGATTCCGTGGCTGCTTATCGTCTGATGAGCGTATACGTACAGCCTTCCAATGGATGCGTCAAAGTTCGCCCTCGAGGCATGCGATATATATGTGGGCCGATGACGGTTCGATCGCCCTTGTAGTACGCTGCTGGCAGCCTTGTCGTGTCCTTCTTCCACTCCTTTTTCGGCTTCGCTCGCCATGCCAGCCTTACTTGCAAACCCCTCCACATCCACCGCCGACCAGGAGGCGGCGCTTGTGCTCTCAGAACTGCCCGGCTCCTACGGGTCTATTCTTCTCGGAACATTTGGTGGCCTTCTGTGAGTATCGTTTTCCGAAGTTTCATTTTTCTGTCACACAACATGCTGATCTACACGACCGGTGCATAGCCTTTATGGGCTGAGTGTACACCAGACCTACCGATACATGCGTTCCTTCTCAAAAGATGCGGTGTACATCAGATGGCTGGTGAGTGTCATTGTTCGTCGTGTACAGAAAGCCGCTTGGGCTAAGATTGCCGCCCAATAGGTCATATCTGTCATGTAAGCAAATTACTAGGCCACGCTCTCTCCAAGGCTCGGTGTTCATGAAAGAATGTCAGGATATTGGAGACTCTACATCTCATCGCGACTATGCATACTTGGTGAATGAGAGCAGGTAGTGATTTAATACGACACATTACTGATTTTGAGTATCGGACAGTTACTTCTACCTGGTGCAGAATTACTTCGCTCCGCTTGTACTTCTAAACGGTGTCTGGTGAGTTCTCCTCTTCGGATCGGGGACGAAAATGATTGACTTAAATACCCTTCCAGGTCATTGGATGTGAGCTCTAGCCTTTCACCAGACAATCCGTTGGTCACTGACGAACCTTGCTAGAGTCTTCCTCTCCTTTCTGTGAGTACCAGCAACGTGTCTATATTCGGGCCAGGAGACTCAAACTCCTATCAAGGGTATCCTCATCATCATCTCTCAGATGTGCGTCTCATGTACAACCTAAGGCGTCGTCTTTCCTGACCTCATTTTCTCCAGATTTTTCGTGAGACGCGCCTCCTTAAGTAAAACCTGCCTACTGTCTTGGAGTTGAATATAAGCTGACTATGAAATACAGTCGGGTCTCGAGAGCGTATTGTAGCCGTTGTAGTGGTAAGTCCAGCAAACACCTCTTGTTATGGGGAATGCTTATGATGACGTTTCAAGGCTATATGCCTCGCCGGCGAGTTTGGTGAGTTCCTGGAATGTGACACGTTGGCCCGCGTGGAATAAACATTTCCCTTCTATTCGTTGCTTAGGATTCACCATCGGTGAGTCGTCACTACCCACGTCCAATAACTGCTCCTGACTCGAATCTAGCTGCTGTGATTAGGGCGTAAGCATCCACAATTATTGATTGATCGTGCAGAACTCAATGAACATATGCAGATTCATTCCTCCCGCAAAGAGAGCCGTCAGGGTGCGTGCATGTTCCAGGTTACCTTTGAATACTCGTTGATGCTGACGCCATCATCAGTTGCTCAGCACCGCTGGACTTGGCATGGCTTCCGCCGCTGATCTCGCACTCACTCTGATCCTCTTCATCGCCATTTGGCGGAATCGAAAAGGGGGTGCCCGGTGCGTTCCCACCACCGGCTTCGGTCCTGACACTCACAACTTCCCTAGGCCACAATCTGAATCTGCTGCTGATGCGGTGCAGCTGTATGTAATCAATACTGGTACGTTTCCATGAACTTTCACCTTAGTCCTGGCATTGATCCCAGTATAGGGGCAGCGACGAGGTATGAGTTACAACCATTTCTGTTGACGCCTTCGTGATCCCGAAGACACATGTCTCGCATTAGCTTGTTCAACGTCCTCGCTTTCATTACCGTAAGTTGTGGCCATTTTGAGTACGATCGTAGCAACTCAAATCCTTGTCACTTCTAGGCGTTGACGCTTTCAATCGACTCGCTTGTGTGGGTCAGCTTAAACATCATTACCACCCGCCGTACGTCAGCACCTGCTAGTGCTACGCGTAGCTGACTGACAGCATCAACACTTTCAACCAGTGTACGCCAACTCGCTGCTTGCGGTGTACGTCTTCTCACTGAGTCGATTAACCGTTCGAGTTGTTCCACGGACTGAGTCTCTATATAGACTCAACTCCCGGGAACTCCGAGGGATGGAGTTCTTCGTCAGCGAAGGCCAGTCTGTAACGCTTGTTGGTCCTCAATTCGAGGACCCCGCCAACCTCTGGAATGCCCCCAAGGTACGTAACACCTGAATATCACCTGTTCTGGACGAATCATTGCTGAATGTTCTCTAGGCTCGAAGCTCGTCGCAGTCATCAGCATTTGACTTCCAGGTGACCCTAGAGAAACAGACATAGACGAAGCCCCCTCTTGCTCGTTTCAAACTTTGGTCCGATTCCGATCGGGTCAAGGGACAAGGGGGCGCCCCACGCTCACAATCGTACCGGGTAACAGGTAGCGATATGGTCAATGGCTCGGGTGCATCGAGAGACCCTTTGCAACTAACGGGATGCTTTTCGATTTTGTATTTGCATATCCTTCTGCCTTATTGCGGCCTAGCGTATGTCCGCGACATAACGCAGCACTTGTGTACTCCTCACGCCGCTCAGGTTCGCGGCCGGCATGTATACCCCAATAAAACTCTTGCTCGACGAATATTCATGTCTGCATATGATCCAGTACTGAGACTGTTAGACACCTGCGAAGTGCAAACCATTCGGCGGTGCTTCAAGTTGAGAAGCGGAACTCTTCATGAGTTGTTGTTCAGATTGCATCTCCACGGTGATGAGCTGCTTCGAATATATACCTCTTCAGTGAGTCCGCGTTCTAAATTTCACAAACCATGTGTCACCAATCTTTCTTCTTCTTGGCTCCGGCTACTTGCAACTCCTCAACGCCCTGTACTGACATGAGCGCGCTACCATGGGCGCCAATCTACTAGTAGTGCAAGCGCTGCACGGCGCAAACCAGGACCAGACTGACCAGGAAGCCCCGGAAGATTTGACTAAAATTGGCAGAACTCTGTCCGGACAACCCGACCCCATTTGCCTGATCGTAATCCGGACTCCGTCGCGCTGATGTCGGCTACGCGGGCCGTGCGCGTGAACGCTGGCGATTTCGACTCATAAGGGTATGTACAGAAGGGAAATCGGCTTTTAGAGTACCGAGTCCGGCCGTCATGCCGGGCCCAAAATGCGGACATTATATCCCAAAAGGGGGCCGATAGGACGCTTGAGGCCGGCGCCGACCAGGGCCTTTAGAAATCTGGTTCCTCCTGGACTCTGCACATCCAAGGCGGTTCCTATTCCACGTGTACTGTGCCCGACTGTGGCATATATGACTACCTCCCGAGAACGTTATCTTAGGAGTTCAGAGGTCCTTGTATATTCCATCAAAAGAGAAGCTGACTGTGGCAGTGATATGACCAGGACGTTCCCACCGACGCTGGCAGGTCCTCGCAATGACCGGTCTTCCCTGGATCCCATCGAAGATGCTATGCATTCGAGGACCGTGCTCTGACAGATAGAAGATGAGACCATTTGTTTATTATTGGGAGCCTCGTACCGCGTCCCCGCCGTCCCCTCCGTCATGTCCCTCCTCTCGCTGGATGAGAGATCTGCCCAAGTTCTGCAAGTCGGACTCCCTGATGCATTTGGGACCTTCATGATCGGTAGTTTCCTGGGGATACTGTTTGTTCCACTTCGATACCGTTTGATTCGGCGGGTACTGATGCGCTGCACAGACTATACGGGGTTAGCACGCATCAAGCGTACCGCTACATTCGTTCATTTCCAACGGACGCAGCGTATATTCGACTATTAGTGAGTGGCTCGAGTTTTATGCAACAAGGTCATCCAAGTTGACCATACCTTTACTGCTAGGTCATTCTTGTGATGTATGATCCCATTGTACTGGCAGGACTACTTCTGAAGCACTACTGATTGCTCCGTGACAGGATATTGGAGACGCTCTATGTTATATTCAACATCCATACATGGTATTTTGAGCATAAAATTCCAGCACTGTTCATCAAGAGACTGATGTTGAGATAGCTTCCATTTCTTGATATGGAACTATGCCCATCCTGAGGGACTGAAGCACAGCACATGGTATGCTGAGTCCATCTTTCTCTACCAAAGCTGCGCTTCTTGAACGGCGTCTACTGCGATGTATTGGCAGGTCCCTTGATGTGAGTGGAAATGAATTCTCCGGTCGTTTTCGAACCTTCTAACGACAGACTCCTGACTAGACACTTCCAATGCTTACCGTTTGTCTTCCCAACCTCGATGGCTGCCCCATGCTGACTTCCCTGTAGGGGCTTGTCGTAGTTGTTGCCCAGATGTAGGACACTCTCATTCAGATATTCATGCTGCTACGACTAACCTTCAGCAGCTTCTTTGTTCGTAGGGTGTCTTTGAGTGTGTAGTCTCCCATTGAACCATGATATCGCCCTAATCAGACTTTGCAGTTGGACCTCGTCACCGTATTCTCGCCCGGATTGTGGTCCGTGTTTACTTCCAGTGAATCCTGAGCTATCTTCATCTCTTATTACAGGGAGGGGCCCTTGTTGGAGAGCTCGGCTTCTCTATTGGTACGTGTTCTCCGGTCTATCAGACTACCCGAGCCGACCGCTTCTTCATCGTAGCTGCTACAGTGCTCTCGTGAGTTTGCTCGCCCGTGCTTTTGAAAACTTACAAGTTATTGACGTCCTGCCAGATTCATAGGAAGACCTGCGCTTGTCAGCGTCAGTACTGTAGTGTTCTGCAGCGTCTAGCAAAATTAACTATTGATATGCTCGTGAACAGGTTCTTAGCGCGGCGGCGCTCTTGATTGCATCTATAGCCGATACGATTTTGATACTTGCACTCGTTCATGCCATTCGAACCAGTCGGAGCCGGGAATCTCGGTACGTCTTTAACCACAGAACCATACGACTGTGCCTAACGGAAAGCTCAGACAAGCGGCTGAATCTCCTCTCGATGTTGCACAAGTGTATATCATCAACTCGGGTAACGCCTGTTATTTCGTTATCACCTCCTACCTTTTGCTGAATGACCGATAGGAATCATCACAGGGCATGATAATCACTTCAGCCTCAGGGTATTTAATGCTGAAAAACCTTCAGGATATTTCATTACCTCGCATTCATTACTGTAAGATTCATTGACTAACTCGGTAGGAAAGTCTTAACCTAGCCATATAGGCGATAACGCTGCCCTCCGGAAGTCTTCTGTGGGTAGCGTTCGTAACCCTTGCAGTGAGATGTACGTAATGATTAGGTGCTCACCTAATGATCTTGTGAAGCTAACTTGCGGCGCAGTGTATGCCAACACTCTGCTCGCTGTGTACGTCCACTCTATCCCCTTGATTTCGACTGCGAGCCAATCGCCTTTCCTCGATAGGCTAAACTCGCGCGATTTGCGCGGCATGGACTTCTTCATGTCCGTTTCCTTCTCGTCGGTGACACTGGAAGGAGCTCACTTCGCCGACGAGTCGGATCTATGGAACACACCGAAGGAAAAGAGACCGAGAGCTGTCACCCCAGGCCGTAACCCACCCCAATTCACCGATCCGTGGGCGAGCGCAACACGTAATGCATGATATGCAATCTATCAGGCTACGAGGGGTGCGCAGGGCAGGTACCCTCGAACCCCTGTTGTCATGAAGGCGCAGGGACTATGTCTACCTCGCCAGCCACGCAATCTTACAGCAGCGAAGCGTGATGTATGATAGTTATGGGTGGAAAGATGGAAGCTGTACTTACTTCGCGATTCCGGATACCATGACCCTGAATACACATCTTACTTCGTCGTTGGACCTGACCTTGCGAATTCTATGAATGTTGACAATGCAACGACATATGATAGTGCCTCATCTCCGTCCGAGACCGCCTTCCACCTGGAAGTCTTGATCTCAGTATGTCGTTCTTTCCCAGTGTATCGAAATGTTCACCAAATCGTGTATACACTGTTTATGGATGTTTGAATGGCCTCTCGATGACTTCTAGGCTACTGTATCGCGCCAGCGTTTGGGAATTACATGACATTCGGGCTGTGTAGACCGACCCAGAGATGATACCGCAACAGATCACACAGTGATACGTTTCCCTGTTGCCACTATAATAGACCTGTTTCAATGTGTCGAGATATCCAATGACTTCTGCAGGTAATAAGCAGGACACAAGTTTCATCATGGACCTACTACTACCTGACTGCTGTATACGTAGACCTTGGATACTCGAACGGTGTCGTCGCCGGAGCTGTCTTGCAAGAGCACCCCCCTGTTCCTGCACTGTTAGCATGCACATTGCAACAGAACGACACCATCAGGAAGCGGACGGAGCGTGCACGTTGAGGTTGGCGTGTGGCCGTCACGGACGGGAGAAGTCGATGGATCAGCACTGTCATGGCATATCTCGTTGATCAAGCGAGGGCTGGGAACTTGACAGACGCGCGGACTGACCTCAATAAGTAGAGTCCCTACCGCTGCCGGTCGCAGATCCTCTCACCCTCGCTCGCCATGCCCGTCATCCTTGTTGAGGAGCAGGTCTCCCTTTCTGCACTGCTGACTCTGGTGACCGCGTCCTATGCGGCGTTTCTCATCGGCACTTACCTCAGCATATTGTGAGTCGATAACGGTTAGCAATGGATCGCACAGCTAATCATTGATCGTTGTCCAGCCTATATGGTTTGAATATCCATCAAGCCTACCGCTATCTCCGTGCTTTCTCTACCGACTCTCTCTACATTAGATGGCTGGTCATCTGCGTCTTGTATAAACCCATCGTCTTCCTCCCGTGTCTTTGTTCTCACTGAAGGCTCAGGGTGCTGGAAACGGTTCACTTCGTCGCGACGATTGACATATGGTGATTCTGCACTGCCACTTCCGCCTTGAGTTCGACCCACGACTAATTGTTGGTGCTCAGTTATCACTACCTGATAGTGAACTATGCCAATCCGGTAAGTCTCGTCCGAGGAAGATGGTATGTGCCCATCCCACTGTAACATGATTTTGCAGCACTTTGAACCGAGGAGTTGTCTTTCAACAGGTCGTTGATGGTGAGTCCCAGCCATCCTTGACTCTCGACCACGCTCACAATTTTTGTCGAAATGTCATACCAGACTCTTCCGGTATGGACTGTGAGTCATCTGTGAAGCCGTGCTTAAGGCTTGATTCTTACGAGAGATACAGGGCTTGGTCGCCTTCGTCTCTCAACTGCAAGTACACTGTATATCAATTTTGATCTCTGTCTTACACTTAGTTTCGTCAGGTTCTTTGTCCGTCGAGTATCCTTGAGTACGTGCTCCTCAAGCCCAACGCCTTACTCCTTTGAGTGCTCACGTACCGGGGTAGTCACCTCCCGATTCCGCATCGTGATTGCGGTCGTCGTGAGTAGCATGATCGGGATTATCCTTGAAACATCGGTTCTGACTGACCTCGATAGGCGTTCGGTCTTTTGGCCGAGCTCGGTATTTGACAACTTTGATACCAGTATAAAGCGTATCTGATATCAGCCACCGCCTCTAGGTTTGACGTTCTGTACGTTTGCGTCATCTACTTTCTTAAGCCTTGCTGATTGCAAAGACAGTCGCCGTGGCCGCAATGTGAATTTGTCCTCGTTGATACCAGGGTAGCAGGGACTGACGACGACACGTAGATATCTTCCCAGCTTCTCCGCCCAGAGCGCTGCAGTGTGTATCAGAGATGCCTTTTCTCGCCGCGTGTTCTGTGCTCAACGCATGGCCCGTAGACTCTTAGTGCTGCGGCATTCGGGATGGCTGGAATCGCAGATGCTGCACTCACCGTGACACTCTTGTTCTCCGTTTGGCAGTCGCGCAAGGGGCATGCTCGGTAGATCTGACAGTAATTCAGGACGCAAGTGCCTTGCGGCTGACATCCGCGTCAGGACGCAGTCCGAGTCCTGGATCGACGTCCTACAGCTGTACGTTTTGAACACAGGTGTGTTTTCCCAGACCATTCCTGCGTAGCGATGGTGCTGACCGTCCTGTAGGTGTGGCGACGAGGTACGGAGCAACGGGGTTCCGCTGGAGAGACTTCCGATTCTGATCACATTTCAATCTGTTTCTGTTTCTGGTCCAGCCTCTTCAACCTCCTCGCGTTCATCACGGTCGGTGTTTTCCCCCTTAAGATGTGTCAGCCTGCATGCCGCAGTCGTCTGACGGCTTTCCGTCCGCATTGCCAGGGCCTCGCGCTTTCCGGGCCTCAAACCCTTGTGTTTTCCAGCTTGGGCTGTATCACGACGAGATGTCAGTCCAGCTTCGCACGTTCCGGCATTCACCATCGTTGACGTCCGTGACAGTGTACGGCAACACTTTGCTAGCAGTGTAAGCTCACGCACACAATCTCGCACACAACACCCGCACGCCTGAGGCTGATCTGATTGATCCCTGTGCGCTTTGCCAGGCTCAACTCGCGACAGCAGCGAGGGATGGAGTTCGTCATCGACGGAGAGCGCAAGATGTCCATCGTGGAAGCCCACATCGCCGCCAAGCTAGACCTATGGAATGCGCCGCAGGTGCGTGCAGAGTCTCACTGCTCATGATTCATGGAACGGACGGTGGACTCTCTCCACCACACAGCTTCCACAAGCCACGGCGCCCAGAAAGATCAGCATCCAGGTCATGCAGGAGAGCGAGGGGAGCCGCTACATCTAATCGACGGCAGCAAGGACAGGCACGCAGGGTCCCACACGCAGACGGCCGGACCGTCATGGGCAATGCAATGTGGGCGAGAGGGCTCCGTGCGGGATGCTGGACATCTGACGGACGACGAAAAAGAACCGACGCTGGACGCTGGTTCATATACATGTACATGTCGTGAAGTAGGCATTGGGGTTGGATGTGTATATATGGTTGGATTGGATTGGGTTGAACTGCTGCACTGCACACCGTACACGAACCTACACCCGCACGACAAGACGACATAAACCACCGGGGGCCGTCTATGGTATGATAGCATACGCCACGCCCTCCCGCTGCGAGCGCGGCTACGCGCCGGATTTCCAGTATGCGATGTCGCCGTCGACCACTGCAGCGCGACACATGAGTGCCCGTGAGTACAGGCGAAGAGAAGGCGAGAACACAAATACGCAGACGCACTCTCGTAGGTCTTGCCCTGCTGCTTAAGCTTGCCGGCGGCCTTGACGGCCGTCTCGCTCCCGTACTCCTTGAGGTCGTCGAAGCTCATGATCTCGCCGCAGACGAACTTGTTCTCGAAGTCGGAGCTGTCGCACGCACGTCGTCAGCACACACCCACCCCACGCCGCTTCCTAATGGATCCGCGACACTCACTGGATGACCCCGGCAGCCTGCGGCGCCTTCGTGCCCCGCCGGATCGTCCACGCGCGCACCTCGTCGGGCCCGCACGTGAAGTAGCGGATGAGGTCGAGCGACGCGTAGCCGGCGGTGGTGATCTTGGGCAGCGCGCTGTTCGCGCCGGCCTTCTTCTCCTCCTCGGCGCGCTCGTCGTCGGGGAGCTGCGCGAGGCGCTCCTCGAGCGCGACGGAGAAGGGGATGAGCGGGTCGCCGGGGTTGTGCTCGTCGATCCACGCCTTGATCTTGGGGAGCCACTTGTTCTTCTTGCGCACGTAGTCGCGCTCGGAGAGGTTCACGAGGTACGTGACGGGCTTGGCGGTGAGGAGCTGGAGGCTGTTCACGACGTCAACCTGTGGGCGCGGAGGTGAGTGGGGTATGCGGGCAGGGGAGGGGGACGGAGAGGGGTTGGGTCAGATAGGTTGTGTTCTCATGGGCATAGTGGGGCGTTACTCCCGCCTCGACGAGCTGAGTTATTTTCGAGCCTTGAGCTCTTGATCATCTTACAGCGGAGTACGCCAGCTCGGATGCTTGGTATATGATATTCACCTACACGGAGTAGATATGTCAGCGATATAAATAATGGAAGTAGAGGATATAATGAAAGAAGCAGGCTGGATGTGAAAGGGTCAGAGGAATCCATGATCTCATAAGCACATTGGGGCGTTACTCCCGCCGTCGACGAGCTGGGTTATTCGAGCGTAGGTGCTCTTTGTCATCACACGAAGCATCCGGACAAGAAGGGATGAAGAAGTGGTACGAGAAACCCGGACGCAGATGCTCACCTCTTTGCCAACCCATTCGACCTTGCGCACGTCCTTGTTCTCCTTGGTGAGCGCGTTGTAGATCTTCTCGACGGTCGCGATCTCTTCCTTGCGCGCCTTGTCGGCGAGGGAGGTGTTGCCGAGGGCGCGGCCGGTCTTCTTGAGGCCGTCGAGGTGCTTCTCGACCCACTCGATGTCCTTGAGGCGGAGCTCGGTGGAGATGATGTCCATGTCGCGGCAGGGGTCGACGTCGCCCTCGACGTGGATGACCTCGGCGTCGTCGAAGGCGCGGACGACCTGGAAGATGCCGTCGACGGCGCGGACGTGGGAGAGGAAGGCGTTTCCGAGGCCTGCGCCTGTTGAGGCACCCTGTGCGCGGACGGATGGGTGTGGGTGATCTACGTGGAGGGTAGAATGGGACGTACAGCGGTGAGACCGGCGATATCGATGCAGGTCAAATGGGCGGGGACGCGGGACGCGGGCTTGTAGAGGTCGCATAGCCAGTCGAAGCGAGCATCGGGTACAGGGATACGCGCTTCCTGAGAGAAGAGGTGTTCAGGACGCGTGAAAATGACGCAGTGACGCGTCGAGCCGGTCGACACACCTCGGGGTTGATAGTGGCATATGGGAAGTTGGCAGCCTTTCCAAGATCTGGGTGAGATGCTGTAAGCATCCGGGCGTCGCGTGCAAGTTGTAGGAATACTGACCGGTCTTGGAAAGGACGTTGAAGAAGGAAGACTTTCCTACGTTCGGGAGTCCTAGAGACGCGTGGAGGTGACTTACGAGTACCACGCAAGGTACCTGCTGAACAGACCTACGATACCGATCTTGAGGTTGTTCCCTGGCCTGCCGAGGAGGGTCTTCTTCTCCGGAGCGGGGGCTTTTTTGGGAGGCATGGCGTTTCTCTTTTTTGCGGCGAGTACGCTGGAGACGTGGAGGGGCCTACGGAGGTCGTGCGGGGTATTCTGCGGGCGCAGAGAGAAGGGCGGGCGGGGCTGAAGGCGGAGAGAGAGGAAGCTGGAGGACAAGGACTGCAGCCATCGGAATCGATCAGCCTGCATCGACTCGAATTTTCACGCAGTCTCCGAGTTCAAAACAACTCGCCGGGCGGAGTCCCAATCTTGCAGGTCCTCCTCGGCTGTCCGGCCATTCCCACGGCGCCGGCACGGACGGCATGCGGTCATCCTCTCAGTCATTTTGGACGCTCTCGGTGGGAAGGCCGCTGAGGGCGACCTGCGCGAGGCACCGACGCTCCACTTTAACCTGTACAGCGGCCGGCCCTCGCTCTCCCAACAACGGCCACCATCTCTGTCCACCCGCCGCACATCCAGGATGAGACCTTTCGCAATCGTAGCCACAGTACTGGCCTTTTGCGCCGTCTACGTGCACACTCAGACGACCACGGTCATCGACGAGTGAGTATACTACACGGTTGCTGCCCCAACTCGCTAACCGTAGGTGCTTTGCTCCTAGTGATGGGCAGACAATCGTCGAGCTCATCACTGTCGACCCTGATCTTGGTTTGCCGACTACAGAGACCCTGTGAGTCCCAGTCCGTGTCCTGCTCGAGAACTCAATGTCTGAGCATCAAGTGCTCCTTCAGGGAAACCCTCACTGCGGCAGCTACTACGACGACAACAACTCCTGCCCAAGCCGCGGGCCCCGGTCCCGTTGGCCAGCCTCAAACCCAGCAAGCTGCAGGCCCAACAATATACACCTACACAACTACCGATGCTGCTGGTGCGTCCCTCGTGCCGTGCTTCGCCGTGCACCCCCCATGACTCTTCATGCAGGTAACACCGAGGCGGTAGTTGACACTTTCACACCGTCATTCGGCCCCACCACTGGCGGATCTATCACCGCTGCCCCCGGGACAATCATAAACTACAGCTCATGGCGCGCTAGCGTCGGCAGCAACACCGTCGCCGTCGTCAGCGCCGGCACCTCTCGATGGACCGTAGACAAGCGGTGGGCTGGCATCGGGGTCGCCCTCTGCGCGGGGATGACAGGTGGGGCGTGGCTCGCACTTGCGTGACCAGCGCCTGACCACGCTATTCATGGCACGCTGCGGGCACACCCATTGTTAGATTGCTGCTTCTCGCATTGCACTCGCTTTCGTGACACCCTATCACGGACAGAATCCGGATGGACGCTACATCAAGTCCTACACACGCTACTCTATTGACGCTTCACGATACATCACGCACGTCTTCACGACTCTCGCTGTCTTATTTCCGGCGTATACGGAATTGTATCACTCCCGAGCGCTGTATTAACATTGCTCACAAGACATCTCACGTCTGTCCCTCCGTGCCGTCTGCCTGTCGTCGACACGAAAGCTTGGCATCCCGCCCTTGCTGTTGCGACCGGCCTTTCGCGTGGGAATTCTCAGTTGATACTGTCCCTTACCTCTGGAGATTGGCAGCGCCCGCTAGCCGATGTTCAGGACATGTGATAGAGACGCTCGCCGCTATATCGAGATTTGTCCGATTCCGATTATCTTGGCTGCATTATCATCTAAGCGACACGATTGCGATTGAATTTATGAGCCCGACATGGTCCTTCAGTGGTACAACGTCAAATCGTCCTTTCTGAGGTGCTTTCAGGCTGTAAGTTGGGGCAGGATAGATGGCAGGCCTATTAGGGTTACTGACATTCCGTTACGTTACTAAGTATAGCCGCATGCTGCGGGTGGGAACGTCAAACTTTATCGCCGCTTTGTGCTGCTTGTCTTGAGCTGCTGGGCGTTAGGATGGGTGTCAGATGTAGAGCTATGAGGCAGCCCAGAATATGTCCGGATGGGAGGAGGAATGTGGTAAGGCTGATATTTCTCCTTTGCTAGTCGCCTGTCACTAATTCTTCACATCTGACTTGCAGAGTGAGCTTTCTGAGCGGAAGAACGGCGTGTCAGAGCCATCGTGGTAGTGGACGATCAAGATGCCTTTTTTGGAAACCGTTTCTTCCGGCTTGCGCGCTTAGGCTGTCCGCTGTCCTTGGTTGCCTCCATAGATTGTCTAATAGCATGGTCCATACCCTATTGCCTGCAAAACGAAATACACCAATCCATTTGTATGCTTTGGGGGCTTGAAGTCTTTGGTATAGTTTTTTTAAGATGTGTTTTCATCAAAATGCGCGCACTTTCGCCAAAATCTGGACCAAACATTTTCTTCGCTGCGTACATGAGTATTGTACACACGTGGTTTTGAGGTAATCGGACCAGCGGTTAGCGAGGAGAAGCAGATACAATGAGGGACCGCCGCTATCAGCTACGCAGGTGACATCAAGAGCAGGAGCACGATAGCCGATGTTATCTCTTGGAGATGCTCGCCATCTGGTCTATGCGAGGTCCTGGCGCTTGGACGCGCGCCTCATCGCTTAGGCCAGCGCTGCCAATCTCCATTACCTCCGCAGGACATATCTCTTTGAGTAGATATTACTCTTGCATCAGTCTTTGAACATAGATTTCCACGCCCGCCTTGAAGACCTCTGCAAGCGAGCTTTGGCGAGACCTGTGGTTCTCCGTGGTCGTGGTCGCGTCAAGCTCTGCAGGGCGGCCCAGAAATGCCAAACTCGTAAGCCCAGAGTACGGTCGCGAAAGAGTACGAAACACTTAGTTGTGTCGAGCGACAAGTGCCCTTTCGACTCTCACCTCTCCGTCATCAAGACGAGGAGACACATTGTGTCTGTGAATGTACGCAGCCGTGACATTGCCGTCCTCGTACGCAACGTAGACACTCGCGCGGGAGTAATTAATCCCACGTGATGAAAACGCGTCCCGAGTAACGGGCGGCTAGCGAGCGCCTTGGGATGCTGAGCAAGCTGCTCCGGGTTTCCGGTTTCCTCGGGATTGCCTTCTGACTGGGACTCCACCGATGACAGCGTCCTCGAGACCAAAACCATGAGCATCGCAGGTTGTTTGAGGTTCGTGCTGCATACCATCAAGCAACCGTCTGCGTGAGCTTACTTAACTTTGCGGCAAGGCGCCTTCGCAGGCGCGCCCACCATTCCGCGGATACCCCATTAGACGGCAGTCAGGCCGATTTCACTGTATGTGCCAATACATAGCCCTCGTCTGCGTCTGCTAAGAAGAAGGCTTGCTTTGGAAATGGCAGATTAGGGCTGTGTTACTAGGGCTTCTTATTGGCTGTCTTCTATGCTTTACGAACCTGTACTTTGGCCTGCAGACGGGATGGATTAGCATGTGAGTGCTTACTGTCTTCGCGTATGGGTTCATGCCCATATGGTGCCCTCAGGATGTCGTTACAATCCGCCCTCATTGGATTCCTGATGTCCAAGTTGCTACGCAAGCCTATGAGTGCGCAGGAAAACGTCGTGTTGCAGACTACGGCAGTCGCAACGGGAACGGTACGGGTATATGCGCGCGATGTCTGTATATGCTAATGCACGAGCTCTGGCAGATGCCTCTCGCTGCAGGCTTCGTTGGGATTTTGCCTGCGTTGGGGTTACTTGACGAGAAGCGGGATGGAGTACCGCCGGTGCACCTATCATGGATCGCGGCGGTCGGGTGGTCATGCGCGGTTGCGTTCTTTGGGTATGTTCTTGTCATCTCTCGCTGGGCTTTGCGTGTCTAAAGCTTCGCCACTAGAGTGTTTCTATCGCCACCGCTCCGGAAGCAAGTCGTATGTGCCCTCTGATAATTTTCCTGCGCATACATTCGCCGATCATATCTACAGATCATCGAAGAGCAACTTGCATTCCCCTCCGGGACGGCCACAGGCCAGCTCATCTCGGTCCTCCACGATATGCCTCCCCCGGAGACTTCCTTAAGGCAACGCCGAGGGTACAACGCGTTGGCGAGCACCGATGACGACGACGGTATCGCTTACGTCGCTTCTGAAGACCCGCGCGTATCCGATGCATTGCGTGCCTCAGAGCCGGTACCGACAGAGTTCCCGGTTGTTGAAGAGCGGGAAGGCTGGAGTGCGCTATCGTGGAGCTTCGCGGCATCGGGTGTCATGACTGTACGTCCTCGTTACGTGCACAAAGATCGAGGGCTAAGTAGGCGTATATACCTAGCTGCTCGCGTACTTCTTCCCAGCGGTGTTCTCAATACCGCTGTTCGGAACATACTTGGCGTCGCAATGGATGTGGACATTTACGCCGAGTCTGTCGTATGTCGGGCAGGGTATCATCATGGGCTTCCCCACGACGCTCAGCATGAACCTCGTGAGCACTTCCCTGTCTCCCTCTTTGATTGATGATCTTTCGCTCATGTTTGGCACTACGTTGGAACAGGGAATGCTGGTCGGGTGGGGCATCCTTTCCCCGCTCGCCAAGCACTCCGGATGGGCCCCCGGTCCCATCGGCGACATGACCGTCGGAGCGCGCGGCTGGATCCTTTGGGTCTCGCTCGCGGTCATGTGCTCCGACTCCCTCGTGTCTCTTGTGCCCGTTGTCGTCGAGCTCTTCCAGGAGAAGGTATGGCGCGCTCTCCGTGGTAGCGTAGACGACGAGGACAGCGTGAAGGAGAGCAAGGAGGTCGAGACGGAGGACAGGCTCGTTCCGATGAGCTGGGTCGCATGGGGTTTGGCGGGGAGCGTGATACTCGGAACTCTGCTTGTGTGGCTGGTGTTCGGCGATGAGGGCATCAAGCCTTGGGCTACCCTTCTTGGGTTCGTCATGGGTGCGCTGCTGAGCGTCCTTGGGTGGGTGACCAGGCTGTTTTGGATGACAGTCTTGGGTGCCACAGTAACTGATTATGGTTTTGGCGGCGCAGCGTCCGAGCGTTAGGAGAGACTGATCTGAACCCGGTGAGCGGGTTGGGCAAAATCAGCCAGCTGTTCTTTGCGTGGATTCAGCCGGGCAACATAGTCGCGAACATCATCGCGGGAGGCGTTGCAGAGGCAGGAGCGCAGCAGTACGTCCCTTCATCTGCTTCGCCCCACACGTAACCTTGTCGGTGCTAAGCTGGCGTTCTTGCGATGGCCGCGCAGAGCCGGCGACCTGATGCAAGATCTGAAGACGGGACATCTCATACATGCCTCGCCCCGTGCGCAGTTCTTTGGGCAGCTCATTGGGTCGTGCTTGTCCATCATTGTAACGACGACCGCGTACACGTTGTATCAGCGCGCGTACGAGATTCCAGGGCCGTCCTTCCCCGCTCCGACGGCCTTCGTATGGCTCGGCCTCGCACGTCTCCTTCGTACGTACTCTTACTTTCTGATACATTCGACGAAGGAGAAGGCCCGATGATTTTGCGTCGCGTCGACTGACTTCTCTGCATCGTTCCGTTTGTTACAGGTGATGGGGAACTTCCAGAAAGGAGTGCGCTCTTCATGATTTTCTTCGCGATACTCTTCGGCGCTGTGGCCGCCGCGAAGACGTACGCGGTTCGGTCCGGGTGGCCTCACGCGAAGTGGATCCCGTCCGGGGTCGCTTTCGCCATCGGGTTCCTCAACACGCCGTCGTTCTCCCTCGCGCGTCTCGTTGGGGGCATTGTCGAGCATGTGTATTATACGAGGGTGGGAAGGGAGAACGGAGGCATCAAGCTGATCGTGATCGCCAGCGGATTCGTGCTGGGAGAGGGGGTGGTCAGCGTCGTGTCGCTGATCTTGAGGACGTTTGGTGTGGGGGTGGCTAGTTGCTGGGGATGCGGGCACGGCATGTGTGGCGGGTGCCCCGCAGCTTGATTGTCAGCCCGGGCGATAGAGAGGTCTCACCAGGTCTAGGTTCAGAGGGCTCGGGCGGTAATGTATATCGTATTTGGTCTCGGTTAGGGGCATATGACACTTTTCGCCTCCGATTCAGTTCGCAGCGTTGGCTCGCTGGTATTCTTGGCGCGGAACTTGTTCACCCCGGTCACCGCCCTTTCTGGAGTCGCAGGTCGATGACATCGGTATCGGTTGACAGGCTTGAAATGCAGGTAGGCGCTAGCGTGCGCTTGCTGTCGCCGCAGATTCCTTAGGCGACTCAAGGAAGCTTCTGTTTCCGAGCTCGTGTACTATGCGGGATCTCGGGTATACGTAGAGGATTGAGCTTGTTTATTGTCTCCCAAGTTACTAGTCTACTGAATCGTACCTGGTTCTATTTTCCAGACCACGTCTGCCGCTTCAGGAGTGGTGAACATCGAGTCGGCAACGAAGTAAAGTAGAGAGCTCTTGTCAAGCAGTCGCCGTTGTTCGTGCGACTCGGAGGATGCACATCTAGTTCCTGAGCGTCATGCATCGACCGCGATTTGTTCTTGGCATGGACGTGGCCCTTTGGCGCTCCCACAAAGCATCTAACAGAACCCAGGAATGCAGTGTGCGGCGCAGGTATCAGCGGCATCGTAAAACAACCGCGCGCCATTTTAGCCTGGGTATGAGAGTTACGTTGTCGGCGCGCCTTGTAGAGTGTGCGTGGAGACCGGACCGAGGTAAGTCTCCACTCTTTCGGAATTTGCAACGTTGGTTGGGGATCGCATTTGGGTTTGTTTCCTGTTCAGAAGCTCCCGAGCGCATCGCATTAGTGGCGCTTCCGCATTCAGGGTCCCGACTACTCGCTACCTCATTCGTCGTTTTGCAGGGCGTTCTGGAGAAGATGCACTGGTGCGGGTGGCTTTGGCTCGGTCTCCAAAGCCTCCCAGGGCATATCAGCAGTTCTCTCGATCTGTAATGATCTCAGGCAAGGGCCTCGCTGGTTCATCCAAGCTCTCATCACTATCACGAGAACCACCCTGCACGGCGTCAGTAGAAACGAATCCCGGGACGCATTGTCGATGTGCGCCATCATGGTCCTTTTTATCCCGGTCCATGCGCCGGTGCCACTGCAGTAGTTCAGGTGCGTGCCGTCACGCTATATTGACGACAGCGTCTTTGTTCGACTATCAGGGACGACACTTGCAGCGATTTTTGCCCGGGGATCACGAACCGTGTGGAGACATTCGGCTAGGCCCTAGTCGTTGAGGGAGGAAGGGCGCTCGAGAATGAGCAATAGCACGGTTCGCTAGGCAGCCCGGAGAATGTTCCTGCGGAGGGGCGCTCCAAGAAGGCTGTTCTTCCGATCGGTAGAATGGTCCGTTCGCTTTCGGCGACCTGCGAGGAAGTACGGTCTGTCACTACAATGGGAACAGGGCGGAACACACAGGCCGTCCGCCACTGACTACGAAGACGCCAACGTTCGTCCACGACATATAAAGAGGATACAATAGGGTGACACCTTCCCCACATCCAGCACGCCTCGTACATCATGTCCGCAACTCTAACTCCCCTCAACCCCGCCAACGTCCAGGGCGATATCCTGTATGTCATACTCGGACGTTTCCTCTTGCTGCTAGCTGACTGTCCTTGACAGCGTCGGACTTCCGAAGAAGGTTCAGCACTACCTCTTCTTCCAAATTGACAACGATGTCACTTCGTTCAGGAAGCGGTTGGGCCTGCTGATTCCCCTCATCACCACCACTGCCCAGGTTCAGGACGACCGGGCCAAGATCGCCGCCAATAAGGAGGCGGCGGCTAAGGAGGGCAAAGCCCCGGAACTCTTGAAGCTCTCCGGTGTCAACATTGCCTTCTCTCAGTTTGGTCTCACCAAGGTGACGTCTGACGACTGATTCAATGGAGTGTGTATTCACGACAACATGAGCAGCTTGGCATTACCGACAACGTCGGTGACACAGCTTTCGTCGAAGGCCAGCTTAAGGACTCTCAGAATCTCGGCGATGCCGGAACCACCGATGCCCAAGGAAACTTCACCCCTGACTGGCTGCCTGCATTCAAGAACCAGATTCATGGTCTCATCATCATCTCGGGCGACTCCGAGTTGACTGTCTCTGCGACACAAGCAACAGTGATGGCGATATTCAACATTGGCGTTCACATCACCCTTCACGAAATCACTACGCTAAAAGGCGTAGTCCGTCCCGGCGCCGAGAAGGGTCATGAACAGTGAGAATCCTATACCATTGACGTTGCAACTGCAGCTGAGATGCTATGTTCAGCTTTGGTTTCTTGGACGGCATTTCCCAACCCGCAGTCAAGGAATTCGACACGAAGCCCAACCCAGGACAGGAGACCGTCCGTCAGGGCGTTATCCTCTGTGGACGTGAGAACGATGTCGACGCCAACAACAACAATACGCCCTTCGTCCGCCCCCCTTGGGCTCTGGACGGCAGTTTCCTCGCCCTTCGCTATCTCTTCCAGCTGGTGCCGGAGTTCAACACCTTCTTGACGCAGAGCGCAGACCCTACTACCGGTCTCTCCTCTGACCTTCTGGGAGCGCGGCTCGTCGGCCGGTGGAAGAGCGGTACGAGAGTATCGTCTGTATTCCCGTATCCATTGTCCTTATCACGCCGTCAGGTGCTCCTGTGGACGTCTTCCCCTTGCAGGACAATCCCGAGGCTGGAACGGACCCGTCTCAGAACAACAACTTCAGGTACGACTTCCCGGATGACCAGCAGACTCAGGACCGCTGCCCGTTCGCGGCGCATACACGCAAGACAAATCCGAGAGCCGACCTCGAAGATCTCAATATCTCTACGGAGAGCAGGCGTATCATCCGACGCGGTGTCCAGTTTGGGCCTGAACTCACCCCAGCAGAGATCTCGAGCGGTAAGACAATCGAGCAGCGGTGAGTCATGATGATTGAGCGCGTCGTCCGCAAGTCTGGCTACTAATGATCTGCACAGCGGTCTCATCTTTGCTGCCTATTCAGGAAGCATCACGAACGGCTTCCAATTTGTGCAGCATAGTGCGTAGCTGGTGCCTGGTACAATGGTCTCGTAGCCGCTAACCCTTTGATAGGCTGGGCGGACAACACGGGTTTCCCTATTAAAAAGCCAGTCACCCCTGGTTTCGACGCCATCATTGGCCAGAATGGTAACGGCCCTCGCAGCTTATCGGGCGCAAACCCGAAGAACCAGAGCGCGACGCTCGCGCTTCCCGCCAACTGGGTCGTCCCCAAGGGCGGAGAATACTTCTTCTCGCCTTCGATCCCTGCTCTTCGCAGTACCTTCGCTTTGGCGTGAATGACATTACCGCATTCACTTGAATGTATGAACATCCATCCCCTCATTCCTAGTTCTCTCGACAGTACAGGTTGCTTGTACGTATCAGAAGTTCGCACGCCTGGAAGCTTTCGAGATATTCCTCGTTGTATGCAATTGTACGCCGAGCCTCCCAACATGATATGTCGTCATTTACGAGTTCCAACACATCGTTCCAAGCTAATCCAGTAGCCAGCTATATAAGGCTGTCTGTGTGGGGCTCGCCGACTCGGGTGGGTAGAGTCTGAGCGCTGAGCGTCGGAGACAGTATCGGATGCGCGCGTATGCCTGCGCATTCTATACTCCTCATGCCCCCGGGCTAGGTAATCTATCGAGAGTGCATCTAAGTGTCTGCCCTCAGGCGATTGGACCGCGAGGACCGGCAAAGAACATAGCCCAAACAAAAAGAAACAAGACTCGCGTGCTAGCGAGATCTTCAATGTCTGTAACGATGGCAAAGAGAGACCCTGCAGATTAACGTTCAGTCGATTCTAGATCGTTGGAAGGGCGGGAACAACTCCCTGCTTCAGATAGAGGCGGGCTAGAGGAACTTCCAGCCGAGAAAAGCTGCTTGAATGCGCGACTACGACCGTGACCACCAAGGAAAAACAAAGTTTCTCGGCAGAGCTCACTTGCAATCGTTGTCCTGACAGCGCGGGCAATCTGCGCAGAAGTCATTCGCGTTCAGCGAGAATCGACATACTTCATCAGCATTCAATGGGTACAACTTCCGGTGACAGGCTATGAGCCGTGTTATGAGCCTGGGAACTCTATCAGCTAGAGCATTCTAGAGGCTGTCAATGAATGAATGCATGCAGTACCCAACATCAGTGTCGTATGCATCAGATAGAGTTACGCGAACTACATATGTAGACGTGGACAGGCCGCCCTATGCAGTGCTCAGGTAGGATGATGATCGGGCGCCGCCGATGTTCTCTGAGTTCAGTCTATCATTCTCGCCATACGCTATATCTGCACTGTAATCCGTCCTTCGTTTGCACCTTCGTATCGCCTTGTGTTCATGGCCTTTTGTGGCTTCTCATTCTCATATGGTACTCACCATTAGCCAGCCTGGTTGAGGATGTTGTCTGAACCGCGGGTTGCGGCGCGGTCGTGTAATTTGCGCGCACACGCCATCTTGCCGCATCATCGGATCCAAAGTGACCCAACTTGATGATTATCAGGCCCCTAGTCTCGACTCTCGACTCTACTCAAGATCGTCCTCGCCCGTTCAGGTGCGGGGAGTTTGGGTGATGAACCTGTTATCTTGTGCCGTCTTGTGGGGTATCATCGCCCGTAAGGCGATGACTTGACATCTTGGCTGATGGACAAATTTTAGGTTCAGCGCACTCAATGGGACCCCTCCAACTTCAAGGACGGAAGACACGCGAACGCCGAGACTCGGTCACAGTTTGCAGTCTATAGCCGCGAGCTTCTCCGACATTACGAGAGGCGCGATCTTCTCGTACACCACTACCCTGACAAATTTGTAGCGTGTCTTGTAGGCTTGCACCATCCCCTTGCGAATACGAACAGGATGCAGCCCGTCTCGCAGGGGTACAAGTCCATGAACGAAGCCAACGAGTCTGAGATGTGAGGCAAAGATCTTGGCACCTGCTGTCGCTGGCAGAAGGGAGTATGGATGGAATTGAGCTGACTGTGTTTGGCCGCTTTGGATTGATCAAAAGTCAACGGCTACTAGTTGCGCAAAGTATACTTTTCGTCAAAAACATTTGTGGCCTTTCTGAACACAAGTCCTTGGGAAATGGCGGGCGGCTGCCTCTTTGCCCCCATTTGCATTGATTTTTCTCCAGTCGACAACAGCCTGACGCTTGCCGTGCAGTATCTGTAACTCTGGTACATTCAACAATACATCGCTGAACCATGGAGGTCTCGGATCTCAAACTGTGCCGAAGGGCATCAGGCGCTTTGATCTCAACTCTGAGTCATCCAGCCTCCCCTCATCAGGAGGCCTGCTCAACTTGACAGTCAAGCTTCCCGCTTTCTGCGCGCCAGCTCTTTCCATTTCCTACGCAAAGAAGATGTGTTAGAATTATACATGAAGGGAGGACGAAACGACACAGCAACTCACACTGCGGTGAACCAGGGATGATTCTTGATCTGTTCCAAGGTCGGCCGACGCGACGGCTCCTTCTTCAGCATCTGCACAAAAGCCAAATTCAACGTTCGCTCCATGTCATAAAACTCAGAAGAACAAACCCAGGAGAGTAAGTCATGGGCCTCTCCACCAATTTCCGGCCTCACCACGACAGGTTGTGTCATCATCCTCTCGTACACCACCCGCTGGTCGCGAGCGCCGCCGCACTTGACACCGTAACGGAAGCTGACGCGAACGAGTGAGTCGGCAAGCTCCGT